AATAATTCATTATGAAATTATCTATTAGTTAATTAGATATCTATTAATTAGTATTGTTAATTTCCTTAATTTATATTTTATATTTTATCTAAATTGAGGATGGATCATATTAGTAAGCCAATTAGTTAATACCTCATTAAGGTTCTAGCTTCTGGGTTACATCCTCCCCCATTAAATATCATGCACGTCCCTGTGCATTGTTTCTACGGGGTACACAACTTCTTGAGTAAGAGAGTCAATAAAAGCTTTATTAAGTCCTTGGAAAAGGGACCTAACTACGGTCACTAGTGGATTGCCCAATTGAGAGTAAGTTAGTCTTTGAGGAGGCTGACTACTTCGTTCAGATCTCCTGACATACATCTCTGGTTGCACAGTATCATGCTCATCCATTTCGGTTTGATTCTCAACTGAGACAGGACGAAGTGAGCTCTCTGTTTCCGACAGAGCTGATGAGCTATTCTCTAAGACTTTGGTCTTTTCAGATGTATGTGTCTGATCGTGTATGATGGGTTCAAAACTTACATCACGTTGCTGCAACTTTAGGACACCATCCAATTGAGGTAGGTTTGTGTTAGTTTCATCCCCCGTTTCTACGTCAGGTAAGTATACTTCATTTTTTTTCGTTTTTTCAGGTAAGTATGTTGCTGCTTCTTTCACTCTTTCAGGTAAGAATGTCGCAGTTTCACTCATTCTGTCAGGTAAGAATGTTTCGGTGTTGATGCCTTTGTCAAGTAAGGACAATTCAGCATTTTCATTACCAGCTAAGGTTGGTTCCTTGCGATCCCCTGTGTGTAAGGATAGTGTGTTTTGTTGTTGAATATTATTTACCGGTCCTGAATCTGCTATGAGTTCCCTATTTGGCAAGGTGACCGCTATTTGATAGGATGGTCGGTTTAGCACTTGTGGAAGATCAGAGTAATAAAACTCATCTACCTCTTCGTCAAGTGGCTCATCTGGGTCAGGTTCTAAGGCTGAACTCTGTCTTGTATGAGGTCTGCTAGGTTTCGTAACGCGTTCTGTTTCATTTTCTAATGAAGAGAGAAAACCACAAGGCAGTAAAAGATCTCTGTGGAGTGTTCTGTTGGGTCCTTCTCCGTTCTCTGGTTTTACAGTGTATACTGGCAAGTTTTCCATCTGTTTGAGAACTATATACACTGTTTGCTCCCATTTGTCTGCTAATTTATGCTTTTCTCTTAAGCGAAGATTTCGGACTAAAACACGATCTCCCACACCTAGTGTGGACTCACGAATGTTTCTGTCGAACCGTTCTTTGTTCTTCCTCGCTGTTTTTTGAGAGTTTTTTATGACAATGTCATAACTCTGTTCCAGATGACTCTTCAGTTCTTTAACATACTGAGAATGAGTTATAGAGGGCTTGTTCAAATGCGGTAACCCAAAGGCAATATCTATAGGCAACCGAGGCTGCCTACCGAACATTAGCTCGTAGGGAGAGTATCCCGTCACGTCATTTTTTGTACAATTGTACGAGTGAGTAAGTGGTTTTACAAAATCGCGCCAGTGATGTTTCTCAGTGGCTTGTAAAGTTCCCAACATGCTGAGTAATGTACGATTGTACCGTTCAACGGGGTTGCCACGAGGGTGATAAGGGCTCGTTCTGACTTTACGGATACCAAGTAAAGAACAAAGTTCCTTGATTGTACGTGATTCGAAATCCCGTCCCTGATCACTATGAAGACGCTCAGGAAACCCGTAGTGGACTAAAAAATGTTCCCACAGGTTCTTCGCGACGGTGGTGGCTTTCTGATCTTTGGTTGGGATGGACACTGCATACTTTGTAAAATGGTCTGTAATCACTAAGACATCTTTAGTGTTCTTACTGTCTGGTTCTATGGAGAGAAAATCCATGCAAACTAACTCCATAGGTCTGGTGGTGGTAATACTCACCATTGGAGCAGCTTTGTCAGGGAGGGCCTTCCGACGGATACATCTTTCGCAAGTTTTAACTTTGATTTCGATATCACTAGCCATTCTTGGCCAGTAAAAACGGGACCGAATGAGATCTGTCGTACGTTCAACCCCAAGATGCCCCATATCATCATGTAGGCTTTGCATGACTGTTGAACGTAATGAATCAGGCAAGACTAACTGCAATGATGTCTCTGGTCCTAATTGGCGTCTCCGGTACAGTAAATCATTTTGAAACTCAAACCGTTTCCACTCTCTCAAAAGGTTAAGAACCACCGGGGGTTCTGCAATAGTATCAGTTGGCGGTTTATTGTCAGTCATAAGCAGCTGAATGACTCGGCCAATGGTTGGATCTTTCCTCTGCAAGGAGACAAGGTCAGCATGGTTATACTTGGGCACAGCAAAGAAACTGTCACTATTGTCTTCCAACTGGAATAGGTCTGGAATGGCCGCTGCAGACATGGCAAGTGACTGAACTAAACCACAAGGAGAATCAGTCTCATCCAAGACCATGTGCTTGTGGCATGTTGCCTTCACTGCTTCGGCTTGAAGTTGAAGCTCGACTTCTTTGACAGAGGATAAAAGATGAGATCGGAACTCATCTAGTCGTTGGCATTCCTCAGTGAATTTTGAGTTGTCTTCAGGTTTATCATGCAGCCTCCTAGACAGGCCATCCGCGTCAACGTTCTGTGTACCTGCACGGTATCTGATGTCAAAATTATAGGTGGACAACGCAGCTAGCCAACGATAGCTCGTTGCATCGAGTTTTGCCGTTGTTAAGAGGTAAGTTAACGGATTATTATCAGTAATGACAGTGAATGTGTTCCCATACAAATAGTCATGAAACTTATCTGTTATGGCCCACTTTAAGGCTAGAAACTCCAACTTGTGCGCAGGGTACCTAGTTTCACTAGAGCTTAAACCGCGACTTGCATAAGCGATTACCTGTGTGACACCGTTTTGCACTTGGTATAGCGCTGCACCGAGTCCGGTCGTACTAGCATCTGTGTGTACTAGATATGGGAGTTTTGCGTCAGCGTAGCCAAGAACTGGCGAAGTGGTAAGTTTTTCAATAATAGTTTGAAAGGACTTCTCACAGTCTTGGCTCCAACGATTCCCAAAGGGTTCTTTGGGGTTCAAGTACTTTGATCTACATGGTGGTGTTTTAAAGTTTTTCCGTTTGGGTGGATAACCAGCCGTGAGAGATGTTAGTGGCTTGACAATATTTGAGTAATCTTTAACGAAGCGTCGGTAATAACCGGTAAATCCTAAGAAAGATTGGAGTTCCTTCAAAGTCTGAGGCTTCGGCCATGTTTTGAGTGCTTCCACCTTATCTGGATCGGTTTTTATGCCATCTCGAGATACTATATGTCCAAGATAACGCACAGATGTCTGGAAAAAACGACACTTATCTGGTGATAGCTTGAGTCCGTATTCTCTAAGCCGTTCAAGAACGTGAGAAAGTCTGGTTTCGTGTTCTTCCAAGGAGTTGGAAAAGACGATCAAGTCGTCTAGGAAAACTAACACTTCCTTCAGATTAATGTCCTTCATACACTTTTCCATAACCCGTTGGAAAGTGCTTGGAGCATTTGTTATTCCTTGTGGCATACGGTTAAATTCATAAAACCCAAACGGGCAAACAAAAGCAGTTTTAGGTTTATCCTTTTCACACATCTCTATTTGATAGTAACCTGACTTGAGGTCCATCACAGAAAACCACTGTGATCCAGCGAGAGCAGAAAAGGACTCCTCCAAGTTAGGCAGGGCATATGCGTCGCGAATGGTTTGCAGATTAAGCTTTCTATAGTCTATACATAGACGTACCTCACCATTCTTTTTCCGAACTACCACTATTGGTGAGGCAAATGGAGACTCCGACTCTCTTATTATACCGGTTTCCAAGAGGGCTTCCAAATGTTTTCTCACTGCTTCATAATCATGTGGATGGATCGGCCGAGATTTCTGTTTGAATGGGGTCTCGTCTTTTAAGTTGATGTGATGTCTTATCTGTTGTGTATGACCAAAATCAAGATCGTGGTGCGAAAACACATCGGAGTAAGTGTTAAGTTTGTTGGTGATCCTCCCTTTCCATTCTTCGGACAAGGGCGAAGTACCGAAGTCAAAACTGAGAGGAGGGTTTGAAGGTGAAGTCTGTTGCTGCGAACTACACGCCGCAAGTACTTTCTGATCACTTTTGTCAGGTTCTGGATATGGCATAACACGATCGGCTTTAACTAACTCAGCGATCACACAGTTAGTGGGTAATGTGATGTCATGGTTAGTTTCGTTTCTTAGTACAACAGGTACTTTGTATGGACCATGTGAAGGTAAGGAAATGAGGCAACAGTCTACAATTATACCCCCTGGTAGAGAACCATTGGTGGGTTGTTCAATGAGTGCATAAGGCTCATGCTTGTTTTGGCTGGGTTGCATAAACCCTTCTAGTAACAGTTTTTTATTTGCAGGGAGAACTTCTTGGGTTCTCCCTCGAAGCTTCACCACACCAACTCGTCCATCTTTGCTTTGTTTTTTTCTGACTGCTAAGGCTTTTAGCACGTGTTGGTACCCATAAGAGAGTGCCTTGGAATCAGGTAAGTTATTGGCAGACAATTGCTCATACAAAGGATCGAGTGTGTTTGTGCCAATGAGTAGTGGTGTATCAGAGTTTGAGCTTATATCCGGAACCACTAACGCAAGGGTAGGTAACTCAAGTCCAGACTGATCGAGCTCTTTTGGAAATGTGACACTTATCTCTATGTATCCTAAATAAGGAACTGCTTGACCGTTTGCGCCCTCGACTTCTAACAGATTACTGATGGGTTTAATTGAGAGGTCAGGTAAGTGTTCTTGGTAAAAAGAATTGGCAATGGTGGTTACCTGGGACCCTGAATCCAGTAAACAATTACATTCAACACTGTTAACTGAGACTGTAGCTGTGCATCGCCCACCCACTAATCTTTTGGGAAGTTTTGGCACTGAATGAGCATGAACTGGCTTGCAAAAAAGTCTCTCTGTCCTTTCCTTAGAGGGACTTGGTTCTACTTTAGCACCTATCTGTCCCACGATAGGAGCTTCTACCGGTTTAAAGGAGGAGACTGAGCAATTGGCTTTGACATCTCCCACTCGCGCTGCTTCTGTCTAAGAGCAAGTCTTTTAGTTGCAACTAGTGCTGGATTTGGCTCGTTGCTACAGCTAGAAGCTATGTGCCCATCTTCTCCGCACTTAAAACAGTATCCAGGCTTTGGTCTGGGCACCACTGCTGTTATCTGCTGAATCTGTTTGGGCTCATCTGGAATTTTAGTCCCCACACGGGGTTTTGACTCTTTTTGAGTTTTCTTTGCCTTTTTATCTGTGTTGTTAACCTTAAGCTGTGCAATTTGGCTCCTGAGCTCAGCGATTTGTTTGCGTAAGTCATCACAGTTATCATCTATTTCCAGTTCACAAGTGTTTTTACTCTGAGAGCATGTTGTTTGCACATTTGAATACACTCTAGTTCGTTGTGCCCCTAAGTGTTGTTTCATGCGTGCTGCTTTAGTAGCCTGTTTGTCTTCTTCAGTGCGCAGTTTGAGGAGAAGTGCTGTAAAATGAGGCGGGTTGTCTTTCTTTTGTTCGAGTTGCAGGTTTGAAATCAGCGAGCTGTCCCAACAGCCTCTGCAAAACTGCTTGAGCAGCTGCTGGTCGGCGTCACTGGAGGAAATTCCATTCCTCTGAATAACTAGGTTTAACAAGGTGTATAACCTCTGAAAGTAATCGGAAGGTTTTTCACCACTGTCCTGGTTTGTGTTTAAGAAGCGAGCAAAGAGCTCGTCGCCGTCTTCGACAGCTGCGTAAGCTGAATCGAGATGTTCAAGGTACGTTTCCGGGTCGGATTTTGGACTAAGAGCTTTAACGATGCTCGCTGCTGGGGCTGACAGACTCTCCACGATTCTTCGTACAATTTGGGACTTGGTGAGTGAAGGATCATTTATGCATAACACTACACTACTACGCCAAGTATCATAGTCAGTTTCAAAAGAAGGGTGTGGAACTCGCCCTGAGAACGGTTTTAGTCTGTATTGTGAAGTAGGCGGAGGGATAACCTCACTGCTTTTAACAATGTGTTCCACAATAACTCGCTGAACCTCAGGTGTGTTTAAAAGATTTGGTGGAATGCAAGGGTTTTGTTTTCCAGTCTCTGTAGGTGGACAATTGTCCTTTGAGTTGTTCATATAGTTAACTTCTGGTGTTAAAGGCAGGGAATATGTAACTTGGTCACTATGGAGCATTGGCTCTGGTTCAGTGACTGGTTCAGATGCATGGGTATCCCTTCCTAAAGATTCCCCAATTTTTGCCAGTTCCTCCATTAGAAGGTCTTTAAATGATTGATTGCTACGCGCAGCTATGTCCCTGAGCTCTGACAGATAGGCATCAGTGGCAGATGTGCTAGTTTCTAGACTGTACGCTCTGGCTAGGTCTTGAATATGGAAGAAAACATCTGGGTTCCTAGTACAAGGTTTGTCATAGGGTAAACATTGTTTCTTTAATTCCTTAACAGTGGCTTCATGTTGAAACTCCACAATAATCTGATCACAGTTTGGTAACTTAATGCGCCTGTTAACTGGTCCGAATCCTTCCATAAACCCAAAGACTTCGTTATCAAGGTCTGTATCAGTTAACCCACTGATTAAAACAGCATTTGAAACTTTGACCTTTTCTGTTTTCACAACTTCCATTTTAAAACACTCAAAAGTACCAATAATGCCAAAATGGCAAACCACTGTGACCTCCAGGCACTCTTATGATGTCAGTCAATGGTTAGCTAAGGTAACAACTCTACAATTCTCCTGGCTGGCTCGCCAAGTTTTATGTAACCGGATTACAGGATACAATAAGATAATTAAAAGAAAAAATAAACAAATGGGCCAATAATTAGGTTCGGGGAGAATTGGAGGTTGTTTAAGAATGACTGGAGTCACGGGTATAGCATGAAACGGTTTATATACTAAATTTTAATAATAATGGGAAATATAACACATAAAGATAACACACAAAAACAGATGAAAACAATCGACAATAGTAAAATGCTCGGTATGAGATTTGATCATATGAGTCACAAGTCAGCCGGCGTCAAGTCAAATCCCCACGCTTGGGGTGAAAGTCAGAGTCCGGTGGTGCGATTTTTTCCTACCGCACCGTTGAGATTGTTCACAGAAGAGAGCAGTCTGCTCTTCAGTTACTTGAGATGTCCTGGTTCGTTCAGTGGTTAAGGCTCGCCATCTCCCTCGTCAGGAAGAAATCCAGTTCTCGTTCCAAGTGAGTGATCATAGGAGTCGGGATCAAACCCAAGGGAAAAAAAAAACCCAGCCTGTAAACAACAGGACTGTTAGCGAGTTGGCATCGACCCTTCTCGTCACATCACAGCATAAAGTCTTACAGACTTAAACAAATGCTTCACTCTATTGGCATAGCCAATCATGTTTGGGTTCACAGTTCAACTAACATAACATCAATTTGATTGTCTATTAAAATAATTCTCAGTAGCTCTGGAAATATAATTACATATGACAACAATTGTTCAGCTCAATAGGCTCAGTTAGATTCTATTACTCTACACTATTCAACAAGAAATACATTCATGACAACAAGGATACATTTAGTTGTGTTTCTATACAGCATTGTGACACCTTGTATATCTGTAACACAATAAATAAATAAATAAATAAATAAATAAATAAAATGTTCTATAACAAAATTCAACAAAATATAAATTCTGGTCCTTTGGTCCACCTTTGTAAAATAATTCCTCCCTAATCAGTTAGCTTTTATTTATTTTTATTTATCTATTTTTTTATTATTAAATGTTTGGTTAAGGGACGCATGGCTAATTCTATGGCGTTAGCTATAACGCCCCTGAGGACCTTGTACATCTAGGCCGTACCACCATTAACTGGCGGTTTGAGCCGTTAACTCCTGGGAATCCCATATGCCCTACCGCCGTTAACTGGCGGTTTGAGCCGTTAACTCCTATATGCCCTACCACCGTTAACTGGTAGTTTGAGATGTTAACTCCTGGGATCTAACGTCTAGCAGCCCACTGCTGTCACCTCGGTTGCTGTAATTAGCTTTTTGAATTTAATAATTTACTGAATTTAATCTCATTCACTCACCAACGCGCTCCAACGGTTCCCTCCTACAGAGGATTGGTTCACTCTGTCGTCTCCACACAAATCTATAAGAATGGAATTAATTTGATAAGCTATTTAAGTTTCCTTTTTTTTTTTTAAGTTGCATCGTTAGCTTTTTCTCTTCTTTTTTCTTTACTCACCGCGTTGGTTCCAAGTTCCTAGCTCTTATTAGAAGGAGTCAAGTCCGCCTCTCCCTCTATCTATGCGGCACCCAAATCAGGGTTCTTCACGGCCTCGACCGTTGTTTTTTTTTTCTCTCTCTCTCTCTCTCTAACCGCTCAGTCTTTGCTTTCTGTATCTGCGTGCTGCACAGCCGTTTGTCTCTCCTCTCGCTCAGCTGCGTCGCACGGTTTTATTTCGCGGAGGCGGGACTTATTTCTCTCAGCCAATGAAATTTCAGATTCCCACCTGGACCAATAGTATACAGCTTTCCTCTTCTGTTTCTGTTAGGGATGTTCAAGATTCTTGTTTTAACCGATGTTTAATATTAAACTCGTTATTTTAGTTATTCACCCTTCCAATAATTCATTATGAAATTATCTATTAGTTAATTAGATATCTATTAATTAGTATTGTTAATTTCCTTAATTTATATTTTATATTTTATCTAAATTGAGGATGGATCATATTAGTAAGCCAATTAGTTAATACCTCATTAAGGTTCTAGCTTCTGGGTTACAGAAGCCATGGTTGACAGTGTCAAATGCTGCCGATAAGTCTGGTTTTCTGGAAATTTGGGAAGACGGGAAGGATTGGAGGGCGACCCGTACCCACGGGAAGTACCGTCCGTGTGGAGACTTCTCAGATTGGGACGTTACTTGAGGTGAATTGTAAGCTGGACAATGCTCTAGCTGCGATACCGGTGTTAGTGCACAAAATGGATGTCTTCTCGGAGAGGGTCACCGGACGGTATGGACAGGTTTAAAAACCCAAAATTGGCCTCACTGAAGGACTGGAAATGATCAGTTTAAAGACTGAAGGCAGAGAGGAAAATCATCTCAGCCTGACCCAAACAAATTCTTGTTATCTGAATCTGACGCCCTGGTAGACTTGAGCTGCAAGCAACTAAAACCCCCACGAAGGAATGGAGACAAATGCTGTGAAAACCCGACCCCATTCCCCCCCCCACCCCCCACCCCCCCACCTTCGAATTGGTGGACTTCAGCCTGGCGAGGTCATCAACTGTAGGAGTCAATGTACTCTTTGCTTCTCCTAAGATCTCCCTCCCACCTGTGACTGTACAGTAGATGAGCTCCTTAGATGGCTGCTATCGCTGGGGGAAACAGGACACCCCCCTCCCCCCCCCGCCTTCCTATTGGAGTCCCATGTTATGTTGCGTTGTCTGAAGTCTGTTGCATATCTGTTGAGGTACTTTTTTGCAGAGCAAAGTTGCCCTCCTGGTGGAGGGTAACTCTGAAGTGCCTTTTTTGCCCTCCACCTGAACCAATCATGTAACCCTCTTATCTCTATTAAGGTAGCGCGACTCGGGTTGCGAATGACCACAGTCACCAATTCTTGTCATGTGTCTTGCCCATGTATGTCTGATCTCTGAATTGTGTGTACTGGGATTAATAAAGTATTGATTGATTGATTGATTTATTGATTGGGTCAGGAAACTCCCCACGGTCATGACATGCAACATGGTTGCAGAGCTGAGTATGAGGGTGGTCTGGACCCGGTTAAACCTCTCCAGCTGTGCGGTAGAAAACCTGCAATGCATTGAGGGTAAAACAGCAGGTCCACTCACCCTATAATTACCAGATTAAGATATAATTACCATATATAATTACCAAATAAGCTGCCAGTAAGGGTTCCGTAATGGGAAGGTTCACAAACCCCAACTTCTCTGCACTGTCGAGGTCCACAAACTGCCCATATTCCAACACCATGGTGCGGAAGGGCGCGGGAGGACGATGCAAGCTCAGCCGCAAAGTCGGGTAAAGGTGGTAGTAAGTTTTTTACCTCAACCGGTGGGGAGGTACAAAACCAACAAAATGGGACCTCATTTTGCCTGGTGGAGGAGCAGACCAGTCCACTTTGGATTTCTCTGCCGCTCCTCGGCAAAGCGGAAGAAAAGAAGTGTCCTCCTGATGGGCGGGAGTTGAGGCAGCGGCAGCAGTAAAACAATCCACCATAGAGAGCTTCCTCGTCCTCCAGTCGGTTGTGACTGTACAACACATCCTCCTCGTCCTCTTCCGGAAGAGAGAACTGGAAAATCTCCAGGTCGGATTGGGTCAGCCTGTCTGTCACCTCCATGTGATCTGCCCAGCTAGCAGCGGGGAACTCGATCACAAGACGATGCACCCATCATACTTAGTGCCTACTGTACAAGCCTGTGAGGGCAGTGATCTGGGGTTGCTGCATTTAGTCAGGTCTAAGCTCAGCAAAAGGAAGTCCTCCAAGAAAGAGGGCAGCTGAATATACTGAATGACCAGGTTATTCCATTAGTGGATGGACAATGACAATGCCAGGATTCATCAGGCTCAAATAGTGAAAGAGTGGTTCAGGGAGCATGAGACACAATTTTCACGCATGGATTGGCCACCACAGAGTCCAGACCTTAACCCCATTGAGAATCTTTGGGATGTGCAGCGGTCAGTCTCTACCATCATCAATGCAAGATCTTGGATAAACATTAATGCAACACTGACCTTGCAGAAGCTTATCGAAACAATGCCACAGCTAATGTGTCCTAATCCAAGCTAAAGACGTTCCAATGAAATATTTGAGTGTGTGAACTTTTTTTTATTTTTTATTTTGTGTGTTGCAGCTTTTTTTGGCTAGGAAGTGTTTTTCCACAAAAGAAAATATATCTCAATAGTTCCAATTACTTACTAGCAGAAGTAAGCAAACGGCAAGTAAGCCTCCCTGCTGAGCCTGCAGCCCAGACAGGTCCAGACGTCCCTCTCCCCACCCACTTGGGCCAGCTCCCAAAGCATTCCGTGGTCATCTGAGAGACATAGTCCCTCCACCGTGTTCTGGGTCTTCCTTTAGGTCTCCTGCTGGTTGGATGCGCCCGGAAAACCTCACCAGGGAGGCATCCAGGAGGCATCCTAACGAGTTGCCCGAGCCACCTCAGCTTGCTCCTCTTGATCCAGAGAAACAGTGGATCTACCCTGAGCCCTTCCCGGATGACCGAGTTTTTCACCCCATCTCTAAGGTAGAGCCCAGACACCCTTCAGAAAAAACTCATTTCAGCCGCTCCTATCATTCTTTTGGTCACTACCCAAATCTCATGACCATAGTTGAGGGTAGGAGCGCAGATCGACAGTGAAGACCTGAAGATGGCTTTTGGTTCCTTTTCTGTGCAGACATAGTTCTAATAAAAAACAAACTTATAAAAGTGAAAGGTCACTAAAACTTGCAGGGATGCTGCAGCTTTAACTCATTTACAGCAACACATATTGTGAGGGGTGTTGCACTGTGTGGAAGTGCTTTATTAAAGAGAGAGAAACAAAAATCATCGTGCAGTTCCAGCATCGTGGAGAAAATTCTCCCTTAAGTACCTTCTATGGGTTTTTAGGTCCTGTAGTTAGTTTTCTGCATGAGTGCAGTGATGGGTTGCTTTGAATGAAGCCATCTTCTCCCTGCCTGAAGACTTTAAACATTTCCACGATGAGCTCACCACAGCTGATGGGAAAACAGTTCAGTCCTGAAAACAATGTTGTGTACAACCACTGCAGGGCCGAGGCGCTCTGCTGCCAAACGACTCAATTCAAACCCAACATTTCAAACTGGATCATTAGGTAAATGTGTCAGTGGAAGGAATCCAAGGAGAAATTAGAACGATGACAGAGCCAGAGTTTATTTTAGCATTTATTTCAACACCTTAGCTGTAGTTCTATCATGTTGTAAATAATTATATACTGTATTTTATTCAAAACAAAATTTATATATAAATTTATACATATATATGTATTCATTTGTATACCGTTTATCTCTGCAAACTTACGTTCATAATGTATGTAGTCATTATGCATTTTAATAGACCTATAATACTTTTTAATTCATAGTACATAATGCTTTCTACACTGCCATTCATCCCCATCTGAGAAAAGCACATATCTTTGACAAAGCATTGAGGAAATCTCTTACAGAATCCGAGTCTGAGATGGAGAAAACCTGTATCCCAGTTTCACAGAAGGAGCAGTATAGAAAGCATTTATGACAAAGAAAAATAAACAAAGAGGAAAGCAACAAAACATCAAAAATATTTTGTCCACACTATTTGGAAGACAGAGATTTCTTAAAAGTTTGAATACTTAATATTGTAATCTTTATTATACTAATTTTGTTGTCACTGCTGCGTCATCTTTACATACAGACATTTAAATAATGCAGGGGGTTTTGTGCCCCACAGTTGAATCCACTGCAGTGAATATCTGCATCGGCTTGTTAAAATAAACTCAACATGTTCAATCATATGTAACACATAGAGAATTTTTAGGTTTATCACAAGAAAACTCCTTTTGAAAGTGAGTGTAGGCCATTCCTTTAATGGATTTGTGAGAGGAACAGTGAAGCGTCGTGATTGTCAACTGGTGAGAAAAGAAAACCAAGAAATCATATAAGCAGCATAAGTATGTTTTGGAAAAAAGGCATTAGAGAGAGGAAGGTTTAAGTCAGGGGAAGCATTTCAGACTAGAAACCACAAACACGTGATAAGACACGCTGACTCACGGAGGGATGAGGAATTCAGGCAAAAGCACAGAATCTGTAAAAAGCCCTTTTTGATCTCTGCACCTATGTGAGGGAGAAGGGTCAAAATTATGGCATCAAAGAAGATGGATCAATCCCTCAACCTAGACTACTGCCAAAAAACACCTACAAACCCTTAGAAAACATGGCGTCTATTGACTTGGTGATCCAGTCCAAGTTCACTTCAAACGTCCTCTGGTTCCTCGCTGGAATCATGAATGACGGTCATAAAAAAGAAAAGAAATTCTAAATATTTTTACATTGTCATTATTCACAATGTGACTTCAGTAAATACCCTGACCAGTTTTATATGAGCGATTGCTATCAGCACTTAGTACGAAACAGATGGTTTTACCAATAATGAATCCACGCAATATATATTTAGCGCTCGCAAAATACAAACATATAAGCTTATTGGGGCATCCTTTGGGGCAATATGTCATAAACATATATTTGTATATTTCTTAAATGTAAATAAACATCTCCATAATTTTTCTATAGTGTTTGTCCATCACTGTTTTAATAAAAAATCTTTTTTCTTATATTTTCAATCTGATTTTGGCTCCGGTGATACTCGGATCTGCCTAAAGCTACAAAACAGACATTAGATTGTGCCATTTATGTCTCTATTATCAGTGGTGTCAGCAACAATAAACACTATTTAATGGCCTTCAGCAGCACTTTGAGAGTCTTCAGACTCCGACTTAAGTTTTCTCATTGCTGTTAAACAGCAGATGGTGTGAGAATCCATCTGTCATGATGGTAAAAATATGAGTGTAAGTGTTGAAGTGTGTTTATTCTTTTACAGCACAAAATGGTGCGTTAATTAAATTTTTGTCCATCAAAAGTTTTAAAGTATAATTCCACTTGATGAGCATCGTCTTCATACCAGTTCCACAAACGTCACAACAATAATCTCTACATGTAGAACAAACTTCCTTCGCTTATCTACGCCTTAAGCTTAAACACAAACGGTTGATGTCCTCTGTTCTTCTCTTGCAAATCTTCAGTTAGTGTTCATCTTTCTCTATTTGTTTATCTCCCCCTTTTCCCATCTTTGAATCATCCCTTCACTCTCTCAGTCAGTGTCTCGAGGAGAAGTTGTGACATGCAAAGGAGAGGAGAGACGCCTGGGGAGAAAAGGAGGCCAAATCAAAGAATAAGTATGGGTGGATTTTAAGGCAAATGGAGGAAAATAATGGCGCTGATAAAATGCAGTTAAAAATAAAGGGAGAGGAACTGATGGAGAGTTAATTGGATGACATGTCAAATTATAAGCATCTGATGAAGGACGAGGATGGTTGAGCTAGTTTGAATGACGGTAATGAGACACTTTGACTTTCCTTCACCATCCAGTGCTTCCTTTTGGACCTTTGACCCAGCTGTCTCTACATCTTCCAGAGCTTGATTTTGTCCTCCCTCACCTGTCAGTGAGTTTCTTAAGCGCCCTCTCGATGTTCATTCGATGTCCCACACGTGTCACTCCCAGGTCCAAGAAGTCATCCTTGGTAAGCGAAGGCAGATGAGATCCATCAATCTCATTGTCTATAAAACGCTCTCTGTGTTCACCCAGATTTAGATAAGCCAACCAGTCTGCCACATCGTACTTGGTCCAGTACGGCAGAGGTTTGATGGCAAATGGTTTTGCTGGTGGAGGAGGACTGAGTTGGGGATAGTTGAGACAAGAAGGGCTAGGTGGTAGATGCATTGGTGAGGAGGCTCCAGAGAGAAAATGAGTGGGGGAGAGAGAGCGTGAGAGAAGAAGAGGGTTTGGGCCTTGCACAGCAGATGGAGAGAAGAGTGGAGGCGTTGAAGCATGGTAGGGATCTCCAAGAGGAAGGCCAGAAGATGGTGGAGTGAGGGGGCCAGGAAAGTCAAAGGGGTTGTTGTAAACAGGTGTAGAGGGAAGTATGGGGAGAGAGGAGGGTCTGGGAGGGGTGGGATTTTGTTGTTCGGTGTTGTAGATGAGAGGGCTGGGAGCCCGACGCCTGGAGACTGAAGACCGCATCTCTTTTGAAGGACTGCACTGAAAATCAAAAGTCTGCCTGCGCATCTTAGATCTGTGCTTAGGTGATGTTGGGTATGGGCAGTAGGTTGGAGAATGTGGAGCATGTGCATGTACCGGGGAGGTGGGCATCTGAGGAGAAGGGGATCTGGTCCAGTTGCGCTGAACTGGGACTTGAGGAGAAGGTGAGACAGAAGGGGTGGCCGAGAGGTTAGGGGTCTGCATCTGACGATGTTGTGGAGATGAAGTGGGCAGTGGCGAAGTGGAACGGCCAGTCGGTGGGCTGTGAAATGCGTCCGTAAAATCTGTTGAATACCTGGAAGACAGAGAATGAAATTTGAATGAACTTTTTACTCATTTTTTGTTTATTCAATATATTTGCAGTGGTCTCTTGTAGGAATTAATGCCTTCATTGTGTGTGTGTGTGTGTGTGTGTGTGTGTGCGCGCGCGCGCGCGTGCGCGTGCATGTGTGTGTGTGCGCGCGCGTGTGTGTGTGTGTGTGTGTGTGTGTGTGTGTGTGTGTGTGTGTGTGTGTGTGTGAGGGGGTAGAAGTGAGCCACATCACAGCTGAGCTTCAGATGGCAGGTTTCGAAGTCTTATTTTCTGATGTTTGGACATCTTGCCTCAGATTGGCTAACAGCAATGCGACTCTACCACTGACTTTGCAACATGGATGATTTATCTCCACAAATAACACAAGCCTGGAGGAGTTCTGCTGTGTGGTGAGGTTGCTAATGCTAACGGTTAGGTTGCTGCTGTTTCCTGGACACTAAACCAACAACAGCCCTCCCCGTTGTGAGTCAAGATGGGTGAGTCCAAGAATGTTAAGTGACAGTGTGAGGTAGAGCTGTCAGGCTTTTCAAATCTGAGTGCTTCCCTGTCTGTTTTCTATCAGTGACTAATGCAGGAGACAGGTGTAGGAGACTATTTTAATGTTCAGCCTGCATGAAAAATACAAAGTGACCGATTATAATCAAAAATAAGGTTTTTTAAATGGTTTTCGACTGTTCCACACTAATACCTGCTCTTAGTCTACAGTTTCTGTAGAAAACAGCCTGTTGTGGAAAAAAAAAACTTTTTCATTTGTCTTTTCTGATTTATGCAGCAATATAACTGGGTGAACAGGGAGGTTAAAAACTGTCTTTAAACACAATTGTTTGTTCTTAAAGACCAAGTATTAATGAATGCCTTGTGAGTCAATCTTTGTGGGGGAAAAACCTCTGGCGCTCCCGTTTCAGGAACCAGAAGTGAGCCACGGCAGAGGTGAACCGAAAACAGCTGGTTTTGGAGTCTTTTTTCCTGATTTTCAGACATCTCACCTCTGATTGACTAAAAACAATGCAACTCTACCCCTGACTCTGTTTGCTTTGCAACATTAATGTTTTAGCTCCACAAATAACACAAGCCTGGAGGAGTTCTGCTGTGTGGTGGAGTTGCTAATGTTAGCATCTATAGCCAATATGTTCTCCGCTCTCCTTTGGATGCTAAACCATCCTTCCCTGTCACAAGCCAAAACGGGTGTGTCCATGAATGCTAATTTGACAACATGACATGCAATTGTCACTGGCTTATCTAATCCAAGCGTTTCCTCATCTCTTTTCTATCAGTGTCAAATGCAGGAAATAGGGGTAGAAGACTATTTTTACATTTAGCCTGCACATTAACTCTGAGTAACTGATCATATTCAAAAAAGAACAAGAAAAATCTGTGACATTGGCCTTTAAGTAATGAAAATACAATTCTTATTTTTCATCCAACCATACTCTAAAGACATCCTTCTTCTGATTATAATGTTGCATTTGCATCAATAAACATCCCCCTAAACACACTAGGAATTTCATAAAAAAACAAACCTGTGCATGGTAGGTGACTTTTGTGCATGGCTCCAGTCATCCATGCTCTTCATGCTACTCATCTGCTGCAGCTTTGAACTTAGCTCATTGATGATGCTGGCTTTCACACCAGAAAGAGGCAAGTGGAGTCTGCGGTTTTCCAAAACAACACCCCCACTCTGGACTCCTTGCTCATGTTCACTAATGTCCCCCCAGACCACTGAACGAGAGTCCACGGGCCTCTCTAAGCAGGCAGCTAGGGTGGAACTAAAGTTATCATCCATTTTGGATCGACTCTGCTTGTGCTTCTTTTCATCTATTTGAGTTCTGTCTAAACCTGCATCTTGTGGGTAGCTTTGTTTCTGTAATTGCAAAGGAGCAGGGTTGGTGCTGCACTGCCTACGTAGTGCTATAGTCGGGCCCCTCCCTTCCACCTCTCTGTAATGAGTCATCTTTGGAAACACAGGGTTTGCCAGTTTGGTGCTGTGCACCTCAAATGCTTGCCCACCTGAGTAGCTTGTGCAAGGATCCTGATGGTGACTGACTTTCCCACCCTCTACCCCGAATCCTCCTCTGTCTCCTCTCAACCCACTTAGTCCCAGCATTTCTAAATGGTGGTCACTATTACTGTGACTGTCCAGCTCCTCAATTCCAGAATCCACCACCGCATCTTGCCAATCTCCACTTTTGGCCATAACTGTGGGATGATGGATGTGATCAGCGGCTTTATCCCAGATGCTCAGGCCAACCCTGGGCCCTGCCATGGTCATTGTGTAATCAGATGATGCTGGAGAGTTTGTAGTGGTTGTGGCAGCTGCAGTTGCAGTCATGGTAGTTGTAGCATAGGTCATGGTGGTGGTGAGGGTGGCTGTGCCTCTGTCCTGTGCTGGGGTTTGAACACTTACTGAGGGGTCATCAGGGCTGCTGTAATAGTGGTGGGACATGGGCTGGGGTCGGTGTAGTGATGTGGGAGGCAGAGCAACAGTTGAGCTGGTAGTGGCGGTAAGAGAGGAGGAGGTAAATATCTGTGGGGATGGATAAGATGGTGAGAGCGCCGACTGTGTGAGATTGGCCACTTCACTGTCGTAGGAAGTAAGGCTAGAGGCAGCAGAGTCACCACCTTGTGAAGCAACTTGGGGAGCATTTGAGGACTTAAGAGGTGGTGGAGGTGCATCAATGGAAGCAGAATGCTGATTCTGGAGCTGATGATGCTGAGGATACCCACGTATTCTTTCATTCTTACCATTAGCAAACTGTATAGGAGGGGGCAAGGGATCTGCAAAAACAAACTCTTCATCTGCATCTATTGAGGGAGCTGGTGGAGGTAAAACCATTAACCCTAGACCACCTGCCCCAGCTTTTGCATCTCCCATAGCATCATTTATCTGTGATGGGGCTGTGGGGACTGTGTACTGGGGAATATAGCTGGTGTTGGGAACATTTTCCATCTGCAAATAAGCAGGTCTACGAGGGGCAGGCTGAGCTGGTGGGGGAGGAGGTTCAATAGGTAGAGCAGGTTTGCTGTCGTACACCTCCTTTTCTCTTTCTCTGCTGCTTTGTGGGTAATACTGGGTAGAGAACTGGCTGTTTCTGTCCTCAGAGAAACGAACTCTAAGACCCTCCCGAGGCCCTCCTTCTTTGTCTCGCTCCATCCTTTCCCCACCTCCTCCCCCCAAACGCAAAATCCGTGGCGATTGTGGCCGGCTCAAAGATGCGGGCGAGGTGGTAGCAGTTGGAGAGCTAAGGTGGAGAGAAACTGGAGAAGTGTAGGCAGATTGTGTTGGTGTTGCAAAAAGGGAAGGTGTTGGGGTTTGAACAGGTGTGGGAAAGGATCCCACTGTCGACAGCTGCCGTCCAAAGTGTCTCTCCTCTCTGCGTGTCCTGCGATCATCCTTTAAGGCCCGCTCTCTTGCAGCCAGAGCAAGACCAAGAGGGGATGAAGGATCCAAAACTTTCCCTGTTAGTGGGTGAATAAAGGTAGTAGCAGGCTGAGCGCCATACATTGAGGGAGCTGACTTGGGCTGTCCATCCTGACTAAGAATAGGAGATGAGTACTCAGGAAGGCCAAAGGCTGGAGGCATGCTACTGGAATAGTTCATGTAGTTGTCTCCAGAAAACATGCCCTCATCTATGGACTTGGACGGCCGAAGTCGAGGAGTGGGCACTTCCACTTGTAAACCTTGCAACGGCAAAATTTGTGCCCCTAGAGCTCCTCCCCCTTCTCCTGCTCCACCTCCAGCTTCCCCTTGAATGTCCTCCTCAGATGAAAGAAAGAAAGAGGCACTCTTTCTCCTCATGTCCTTTAAACGTTCTCTTTCCTTGCGTGCCTCCCCTCCTCCAAACGCTGCTCCAAACGTCGAAGTATAATCCAATTTTTCCAGGTTGTGTTGTGTAGAAACAGAGGGTGCCACAGATGAAGGCAAAGAAGTAGACGTGGGCAGCTGAGGTGGCGAGGGGGTGAGTGGTGATGGTTGGTTTGCACTAGAGCTGTCAGGGGCTGCATCTATGGAGGACTTATCCTCCGCATCCTGTGACGGCTCAGCTTCCATACTGCTACCTTGGCTGCTTCGACCACTGCTGCTGGTGGATGGTGCTTTCACAATGATTGTAGGGATGGGGATGGAGCTCTTCTCTTTGGCCACACCTGCTTTACCTCGATGTTGTCTCAGTCCATCTTCCACTTTTGACTGCTTAATCAAAGCTCCACGACCACCTCGTCTTGCACCACCTCTACTAACACCTCCTCCCTGCTCCCGGTTTGACAAATGTGGAGGATGTTGTGGCGCCTGCTGAGGCTTAGGGTTAGCACTTGTTGGTGGTGTAGCACTGCTGTAGCCTCTCCTCAGCCCTCCCATCTTGTCACCACCTCTCCGAGGCACATCTGGCTCTCTCATACAAAGTCCATCTGATTGCCTTCGGAGGGTGGGAACCATAGCCTGCTGGTTCATGCCACTGGCTCCTCCCCTCTCCCAGACAGCTTGAGCAGGATGACCTGGCTGAGAGTGAATCTGGTAGTGGGCTTGAGCTACAGGGGGTAATGGCATAGCAGGCCCACGACCAGTATAAGGACCGGCAGATAAAGGTGGCTCTGGGGCAGATGTGTTAGGAGGTGGTGGGATATCTTCTGGTCCTGGCACTGAAAGGCTACGAGCGAGCTTCATAGCAGGTGGGTGGAGGTACTGCCGCTCTTCTTCTGCCACACCTTAGCACAAAAACACAAGCATTGGCAAACACTCTGGGAAAATAATTTTAAAAACTCATGTATTGGGAGAAATTAATGTTGTAGTTACCGATAGATTTTTGGCGCATCATGACTGCATGCTGAGGACCATGACCTGGTTGGAAATGAGCTTGGTTGTAGCCAAATCCAGGCCCAGTTTGGACAATACTCCCTGATGACTGCTGCTCATAGGGTTGCTTCAGGTCAGAAACAAATGGAACAAAAGACAATTAGGCACTTGCTTGGACATGATCAAATACAGAATAGTTTTATTTGAAGCAGATGTTGCACATTTTGCTGCAGAAGAATCAGTCCATCTGAAGCAGACAGAGCATAAATGAATGGAGCCAACCTGACTCACACCTAAACAACTGTTTTTATGTGGGTGGTCCATTGCCAATCATTTCATCTGAAGTGCAGAGAGGGCAGGAGAACATGCAGAGTTAAAAAAAGCACCTAAACAGCAAGTCGCCTTATAGGAAGGCATAGTTTTTGCCAGCATTATTCACTTCCATGACTAAATATGAACCACCTCCCGATGTAGCTGAAAAAGAGAAGAGGCTGTGCTTGTTTTTGCTAATGTGCATTGCATTTCAAGGCTGGTAAGTGTTGCAAATTTTGTTGTTAATTGTGCCTTAATATCCATTTTGATACCCAGTAATTTTAACTATTGCGACTGTTTCCCAGCAGTACCTCATTGGAGATGTTGGTAACAATGCTCTTGCTGCGGTCCCTCTTGCCACCATGACCTCTTTGACCCTGGTTGTCTGATGTGATCGTGTGCTGGGCAGCAGCCAATATTTCATCCAGTTTATCTACAATAAAGCATGAAATTGGGCAAAAGCACAAAAAATATTAAATGGAAAAATGATTTCTGTGAGCTCCATCTTTTACATATTTTGACAAAAGCAGCAGAGAGGCCTACTTAACGCCATCTGATAAACTGTCCTTTTCTTATCAGGACCCTGAGATGAGTCGTAATCTAAAGGAAATGTGGAAAAAAAGCATCAAACAGCCTGACTTGTAGTTAAAGCTGAGGGACCGATAACAAAGTTTTATATTCACCTGCTTTATTTTTCCACGGAGAGGCAGCTGTTGCGTACATAATTCAGGAGACACATATTAGGTGTGATTAGTCATGCTTTAAAGTCTTGTGTGTGTATAAAGCACACGAAAGGGTGAAATACATACTTAGACACATGTAATGACGTGAATGCTGATGTGATGAGAAGAATGGTGATGAGCATAGAAATGATCATGAGAGCACACAAATCCATTCTCCCACCTTTCTCCACTGTTGGCAGCAGGTTTGATCCAGATTCAGAGAGAGAGAGAGAGAGAGAGAGAGAGGGAGAGAGAGAGAGAGAGAGAGAGAGAGAGAGAGAGAGAGAGAGAGAGAGAGAGAGAGAGAGAAAGAGAGAGATCTTTGTGACTAATAGAATTAGACCCGTATCATATCACAACATGATACTGCTTTAAAATCTTTTAACCTCACTGTTTAATTATCGCTTTTCTGCTTCACATGAGTAACATCAAAGTGCAAATGAATCAAAAGACTCCATCTTAAGTCAGCTGAGAAGATAGATTAAATCCTACTTTGACTTTCTGTGACAAGTCTCATAATATTTAAAGCTGTTTTTCAAAGAAAAACAATTCCATTGTGGTGCCATGAGAAAAATGTGTGGGAAACTCAGTCCCAGTTTATGTCCTCTCTATCATCTTACCCATGTCTTCTAGTTCTGATGTCATTGACTTGGAGCGAAGGGCGATGGCAGGAGGAGTCAGTCTTTTAGTCTGCTGTGGCGCTGCCAAAGGAAACCAGCCAAGTTTTGATTTAATGTTAGGTATTCTTATATATATGTGCAGCCACCAATGGCAGCCATGTTTCAACAGGCTCTTCAGGGTGAAGTAAACATGCAGGCATCCGAGTCATAGTATCAAAAGACACGGAATGGAAATTACTCACAAGGAAATAGTGACTCTTACCTCTCTTCCGAGCCGTGTCCTCCAACTCAGGGTTACGAGCGACCATCACTACTTTCACCATGAGGCTGTTGCCGCCCTGACGGATCATGTTGACCACCTGCCGATGACCCACCTTCACCACATTCTGGCCGTTCACCTGATGGACATGACGAATTGCAAATGAGCTGATGTCTTTCAATAATTTCCCTTCATATGAAAATAGATCCTAAAACACAGTATGGAGATAGCACTTTAAGCAGAAAGTACCAGAGATGTGACCAAGGCACTGCTTTGCAAGTCACATGCAAGTCACAAGTCTTTCCAGTCAGGTCTCAAGTCAAGACCAAGTCAAAGACAACCAAGTCCAAATCGAGTCCAAAGTCAATTATCTGGAAGTCCAAGTCAATTCCAAGTTCCTAACTTTTAATTTTCAAGTCATAATCAAGTCATGTGTCCAACTTCAATTTAATGACAATGATAATAAATAAATTCCAGACATAAAGCTTCTTAAAGCTTCATTTATTTCCTCAAACAAGCAGGAAGTGCAACTGAAACTGATTATAAACAAAGTGCTGCTGCAGTTAGCAGTACAAGATCAAACCCAGAACGAAGAATGATTCATGATTTTTGTCCATGTCGTGTCACTTTTGTGCTAAAATATCAAATTTGCTCAAGTCATCATCAAGTCAACAGATGCAAGTCGATTCAAGTTGCAAGTCATTGGCGTTCAAGTCCGGGTCAAGTCGTAAGTCTTTATAGATTTTATCAAGTCAAGTCAGAAGTCATTAAAATAATGACTCGAGTCCAAGTCATGTGACTCAAGCCCACACCTCTGGAAAGTACTCTAACATTAAATCGGCCTGCTTTTGAACAGTTATTCTGGCAGTTTAGAAAGCGACTATAAGGTAAATCTCTTCTACAAAAGCTTGAGCACCTACATAAGTGACTCATGTGACTGAATGCCAATTAGAAGTATGTGTCAGCTTTTAATAGAGGCTTGACAATAATTGCCCTTTTTAGATGTGACTTTTAAAGGCACAAAGCAGCCAGAAAGTTGCTGCTTCATGCTGTTGTCATCTGAATGAGGAATACCAATTAAAAGTTCAGCAGCCCTTTGGAGACTAGCTAAAACCAAACGTGTCAAACAACTGAGTACAAATACTTTGTTACCTATCTTATGTAGACATTTAGGGTATCTATACTTCGCTGGAGTAATGAATGAATGCATTTTGGCACAAAACAACTGGTTTTAGTTGACCTGTATACCCAAAAGGGGGTAGGTAGAAGCAAAAAGCTTAAAGGGAGCGTGAGTCTCCTCCCCTTCTGGTCGACTCGATGGTTGATGTAAGTGATAAAGCTTTTCTCTGGTCTGCTTTGCCTTACGCCCTGAATCACACATAAGCTGCACTTCAATTTAAATGAAAAGTGTGTTTATACTATGTCTGTTACACATTTTGATATTTATTAGCTTGTAAATATTTGTAATTAAAAAGGTTACAAAATCAGACGTTGCATAAATGACATCACAGCAGAATCTCTTCTCCCCCAGAGTAGCTGCTACTCACCACATGGCCAGCTTTGTGGTTTTCTCCATGTTTAACGCTCCTTCTTTCAACCTGGAAGAAGAACTCGCTAAACTTAACAATTTTCTTCTTCTTCTCCTCTTTGTCTGGTTTGATTACATCAATTTTGTCAGACAGGCAGCTGTAGTCCTGTACACCTTTTCACCTTTGACTATTGGACAAACCCTCCGTAGCATCACCCAGAACTTTCTAAAAGGGCTTGTTTGAAGCCAAATGGCTGATTCCCACCACTGCCATCTTGGCCATGTAACTCGTGTCGTCACCGCCAAATTAAAAATGGCAAAAGAGGTGGAGCTGAGAGTGGGGCTGTGAGGATGGGAGCAAATTATTAACACCCATCAAATTCTAACTGAGCTAACCCAAAGCTGATACAGAGCTAAGTGCTAACCATTGACTGTTAATATACAAGCACAGCCTCAGATCGCAGCGATCGGGGGTGGGCACCCAAGGCGCATGAGCCCACGCTCTACTCCTCTGCAGTGGTCAGAGGTGTAGCCACTAGCCCTAGCGCTGAAGGCTCAGGCTACCTGTCAGTCAAATCTAATTATCATAATTTCAAGCATTTAATTACACCTTAACGGAGATCATAGTTGTCATGTCAGTAAACTAGACTCATTAAACCTAAAATGTTTTTTTTATTAGGCTGTAAACATGTTTATTCCTGCTGTGAAGTTAACATTTTCAACATGGGAGTCAATGGGAACTTGCTCCTTTCTGGTGCCCGCCCTTAGTGGATGAAGGGTGACACTGCAATATATGTCACTTCCTGGTCAGCTTCACTTTTAGCCGGGCGAGTTCAGTTCTTAATTTTTACACAAAACTTGAAGTAACCTTCCCTGCATGTTGAAAATAAGCGCTTCCTTGATGTTAAAGTGTGTCTTTATGTTCACACATCAAACAGCATCAGAAAATAACCTTTTTGACTCCAAAACCTCTCATTTATATTTTTAATAGGACTTAGGCTCCCCATAGTAATTATCTATCGGTCCTTGTCAGGTGATGCATCAGGTGCTGTAGTGCGTTGCACGATGGGATAGCTAAGTGTAGAAACAAAGGAAAAATCGGTCGCTTTGTGTTGTTGTGTGCTTATGAAACTGCAGAAAACTTATGTTGTGTGTGAGGCTGCCATGTAACCTTCACAAGAAGGCAAAAAAGTTAAATGTAGGGAGGGATCAAGTTAACCGGCTATTTTACGTTTTTAACCGTTTATTTTGACAGAGAAACCTCAAGGCTGTTGGTCATTCTGACAGACACATACAGGTGCAGACATTTTAAACGTTACGCACCGAGAACATCACGAAGGTAACTAAATACATCAAGAAAATATTCCCTTCTGAACATCTGAGCATTATCTTAGACACCATGATCAACTCAGATGTGAGAGCAGCTCCGTCTGTGGGTCACAGCTCAGCAGCAGAACCAGAACAGCAGGTAAAACCTTCCTATTTTACGTGAAATTCAATTCAATTCAAATTCAAAGATACTTTATTAATCCCAGAGGGAAATTAGAGTTTCAGTACACACAATTCTGAGCTCAGACCTACATTCATACATAGACACATGACAAGAATTGGTGACTGTGGTCATTCACAACCCGAGTCGCGCTACCTTAATAGATCAAGAGGGTTTATATGAGGATAGAGTCAGGGGGAGGGGGAAAAAGGCACTTCAGAGTTACCCTCCAAAGGGAGGGCAGCTTTGCTCTGCAAAAATACACCTCAGACAGAAATGCACACAGACTTCAGACATCACACAACATAAGTGTCCACTAGGTGGGGAGGTAGGGTTGGGACTCTCCTCACTTCAGTGCGTGCAGCCTAGATCCTAGATACGGTTCCGCGGCCTTCACCGGTCACAGTCCCACCCAGGCTCGGATAGGGAGAAAGAGTTTTCATAGCTACGGCAACATTCCACATTTCTTCTGAGGGAGTAGTTATCACTTCAGCCTCACAGGCTCCAAGGGCACCAGATTCAGATAAAAAAAATTTGTTTTTGTTTTGGGCACAGAGATAATTTTTTCTCTGCCTTAGAGTTCTGTTGGTCTACAACCCCTCTAGATACAATAATGGCATAATTAATCAATCCCAATCCGTGCTGATCCATCCACTCGCTCCTTGATGGAATCCACCTTTTGTGCCAGAGCCAAAGTTCCAAGCTTACGACTCATCTCGACAATTATATGAGTTTGTGCGTTCTCAGCGCAGTGTAAACCATCCCTGAGCTCTGGGATTGAGCCAATATTCCTCGAAAGCTTGTTAATTTTCCGGTAAGCCAGGTAACAGCTCAGGCCAAACTGCAGGAATCCCGACACCAAAACGATGAATATCCAAACATCTTCAGAATCCTCCACAGACAGTTGAGAGAGGCACATCAGGTTCCACTGTTTCCAGGAGTCCATGATATGCCCAGCTGGCTTTGTCCCAGAGGGGCATCGGGAGCACCCTTCTCCCGTTCTCATCGCTGAAAAAAATTTGCCAATCACGCTGAGAGACCAACTGACCAGATCCATTTTAAATTATTTCCAGTTTCCAGAAAAAAAGCAGAAAGTGCCGTACACACAAAGACAGGACAAAGAGCCTTGGGATAAGGAGGGAGGGACAGGAGAAAAAAGCGTCTGTACTCTCCAAGAGCCGGAAGAATAATCGTTTAATTGTAACATTAATATGTAGCTGGACACGCTGGCCAGCTTGTTTAGACTAAATATTAAGGAAAAAATGACCTTTTATATTTATTATTACGGGAGGAAACGATCATGACCGATTTTAAAACTCTGTCGGTCAAAATGAAAACAAACATGTCTAGCGCTACCTCTGACTGTATTGTTTCTGTACCTGTGTGTAACATGTACTGATAATAACTTGTTATCAAGTTCATCCAGAAAATAAAACCTGGTGCAGTGCCTGTGTTAGTGGAGTCACGTTTCTGGATGGCTACTTTTTATTTTGACTTGATTGGAAATGGGTTGAAGTAGTGCCACAGTTACTCAAGTTATATATTTTCAGCAGTAATAAAACATCTGAGCTCCGTTGTTTTTGAGGTCATAGGGATCTACAATGTTGACTGTAACCAATTTCTGAAAATACAGATCCCTGTCCTCCTTTACAAGTTTATTCCCGTAAGGGATTTGTTCATCCTTGTTCTTTATATCCATCCTTTTGACTCTTGCTCTTCTTCAACTTCAGCTGCGGCTTCCCCTAGCAACGCGAGTCATACACCTAAAATGGCGCTAAGGGGGTGTGGTTGACATGTAGGTCACGTATCTGACGAGGACCGATTAGCTGAGTTTTTACCTCTACTACTTACATGTTCATGCAATTATCTGTACTTTCTACTCCTTGCATTTCAAAAATAGCCTTAATACTCCCGTTTTATTTCAGCTTGTCATTGTTAAAAAGAAAACACAAAGCCAAAGAATATTCAGATAAATTGCTCCATCCAGAGCAAGTGGCTTTGATTGCAGTTGTATAATAATTTTAAACATCTACCATTCGGACACCCTATTGTTTTTTTCCATCAGTGGAGATTTTCCATGCATGCATAGATGTAGTTTTGACTATAGCTGTTTGGTCCTAGTGCTCAACTAGTGTCTATCTAATATAGTGTAACATTGTTTTTGGACGGTAAAAGTGCAGGGGACACAAATTGATTTGGGGAAAAAGTGGAGGAGACATGTCCCCCTCCCGCCCCCCCCCCCCAAAACTACGTTCATATATGCATGTGTGTGGGCAGAGGACAATCGATATGTGAAAGTTTGTTTTAATGGATAAGTGAATTAAGCTTATAAATGTTTACATTTAAGGGACTTTGAGGCTATTTTTGTTTGGGTAATGAAAGTTTTCATTAGTGTGAAATTTAATTAACCTCAATGAGGAAATCCCCCATCCGAAGGCCTGCTCTCCATGCCACACCACCCTCATCAACAGACTCCAGATACTGCAGCGCAGGGAAAGCCGGCGTTGGAGTGAACTCCTCTATGGGAGTCTGAGCTGCAGAGAATGAGACAAAAAGGAAACAAGGATGGCCGCGAGAAAACATTTTAATATCTTATTTCTGATTATAATCGGTCACCGAGTTCTTCATGCAGGCTGAACGTGAAAATAGTCTCCTACATCTATCTCCTGCACTAGCTTCTGATAGAAAATAAACGGTGAAACTCAAGGATTTAAAAAGCCTGACAGATCTATGTCACACTGCCACTTAGCATTCATGGACTCACCCATCTTGACAAGATGGGGAAGGCTGTTGTTGGCTCAGCGTCCAGGAAACAGCAGAGAACATCTCGACTAGTAGAAGCTAACTGTTAGCATTAGCGACTCCACCACACAGCAGAACTCCTTCCAACTTATGTTATTTGTGGATATAAAACCTCTGAGTTGCAAGTCAGTGGTAGAGTCGTGTTGCTGTTATCCAATCTGGGGTGAGATGTCCGAATATCAGGAAATAAGACTCTAAAACCTGTTGTGTTCAGCTCAACTCTGATCTGGCCAACTTCTAGTTCCTAAAGCAGATGCACTGGATTTTAAATTCTACTAGAGACCACTGCAAATGTATGGATTAAACGAGTGAACCACTCATTTAATGTCATAAGTAATTAGAATTATATAAAATAACACAAAAGGCTGAGAAATGCTTGGAGGTGAATATGGAACTGGTAAATTACAAAGAAAAGGTTTACCTTTGGCTCCTCTAAGCACAAAGCCAAAGCCTTCATTGTCTTTCTTCTGTAGGAGCACAGCCTTCTCCTTAATGATGTAGTCACTGCAAAGACCATTTAGAGGAAAAAAGGAATGGGAGGAGGAAGAGAGAGAGTGAAAAAGGAAAGAAATTAGAGAGGGAGAGCGCTAAAGGAATTTTAATGTTGCTTTAGACACACACACATTCACAAAACAAAAAATCTGATCGACATGCAAAAGTGTGTGAAAAACAGCTATACTGCATCACATTATGATATCACACTGCAGCAAAAGATGGGTTGGCTTCAGATTACCATAGAAAAGGTGTTGGTGCACAAAGGGCTTTGATGGCAGGGTCACAGTTAGAGCCATAATGGGAGTGTATGAGATGACTTTCCTAACGAAGGACTTAATCCAGCTCAAGCCAGCCAGCACCAGGTCAGGAGGAACAGCACGTTAAAAAATGTGCTCATATGCTGATAACGGAAACTTCCAAATGCACCTAAATCCCTGCATCAGCTCCGGGTGCCTCTGGCAGCTTTTGCAAGGATACAGCTTCACAGACTCCTAAGCACCACTACCAGTCATACATGACACTTCAAATTAAGATGAAGTCAGACATTAAAGTTAAAGTTAAAGTCCCATTAGTTGTCACACACACAAGTGTGTGTGCAAAATTTGTTCTCCGCATTTCACCCATCCCCTGGGGGAGCGGTGAGCTGCAGACACAGCCGCGCTCGGGAACCATTTGGTGGTTTAACCCCCAATCCAACCCCTTATTGCCGAGTGTCAAGCAGGGAGGCATTGGGTCCCATTTTTTTCTAAGTCTTTGGTATGACCCGACCAGGAATTGAACTCTGATCTCCCAGTCTCAGGGCGGAAACTCTACCACTAAGCCACTGAGCTGGGACATGCCATTAATCCTGCCCACACACAAACAGCTCCTTTCAATGGAAGTTTACTGCCCGAGAGGACAGATGCAGCAATCACAGACAATGTGGATGCAATCTTAATAATTATGAGAAGTTTGGAGTGGTTGCTCCAGATGCTGCTGCAGTATTCTGATATCATGTCCGAGACTTTAAGGCACCTTTGATGTAGAAGTAGTCAAATGGACTCCACACAGCGAGTCAAAGCCGCACCTCATGACTCATTGCTGGACTTGACTTTCCATCAATGTCAGTCCTGCTTCTGCTAGTGGGCCTGGGGCTCGTGCTATGCTGTGGAAAATTTCAAGGAATTTCAGACGTTTGTCTCAAATGTTGCCAACTTCTGTGTTATTTTGTGCTCCTTGGTGTAACTCAGACCTTTATCAGTTTGAATGATTTGATTAGATTAAAATTACATATAAATAGTTCTTCTAAATACTTTGAGATACAACCAAGACTAAGATGTGAATTTTTACCTGGAATCCCAAACATTTTTAACAAAAAACTGTTTGCAGATTCACACCAAACTTTCCCAAAAAAGGATGACCACATATAGACTTTGTGGGAGATGATTAAAATCCGTCATGCAATGTTTTCTAACCAATGCCTTTAAGTAGGTTTGCTAAGTAGACTGAAAAAAGATCACGGTCTAGGATTTTTAAATGACAGCATTTCATTCCATTTTAGATTATTTTAAGTGTCTGGCAAACAACCACACCACTCCAACTTCATTCTGAATCCACCTCTTAAACGCCCACTGGTATCAAAATAACAAGAAGGGATATGATACTATAATCCACACACTCCCACAGCACCAATTCTGGCAATGATAAAGTTTGGCTGCTCAAATCTCAGAGGCACAACAGAGTCATGAACGCTGGCCTGCAGGCCTGAAGGATCCAGACTCCGACATCGAGGAGTAACTTTAGCACTGAACAGACGATCTCTGGTTTCCCTCGCTGAGGTCCGTCCCTTGTGTGTTCTCCATCAATGTTACTGTTTCGCCAGCGCTCAGCCGCCTTCCAGCCATCTGCTCCTCACACCTCGGTCCTTTTTCTCTCACCCTGTTCTCTATCTTGCGTTCCCTCTCTGAGGATCAAAGTAACACGGAGTGGGTGGACAGATCCATCGGGTTCTTTATCCGTCCATTTGTTGGTCCTTGAGGGGTGATGTTAGTCGCGTTGCTGGTTTATGGTAAAACACCTGATTTCCTTAGTACACTTCACTACAGTGAAGATCAAGTTGGAGTACAAAAAGCACAAATGTCTCTTGTTAATCTCTGCTGGCTACTGGGTTATGTTCTCTGTGAACTGGCCGCAGTGAAGCTGTACTGGAGACTGGAGTTATTATGTACCCTCCTGAGTCATCCTCTCTTCTATTCACAATCACAGAGAAAAAGAGGAGGCTTTTTAACCATTCACCTGCTGAATGCACAAACAGACGGATCTAGTATGCGGGGGCATTACAAACACACAATAAGCAAAGCAGCTGACAGATGTTACAGACACACACACTGAATCCAGCACAGAGATGTACGCACAGCAGACACTCCCACAACAGGCATAGCACCAGTAACATAAAAGGCTTAGGTTATAATCGGTGGGTAAAGTTATAAATGCAAACACACACACACACACACACACACACACACACACACACACACACACACACACACACACACACACACACACACACACACACGCACGACTGGTTTGTCAAATTACAACATACAGGAATGAATAGATGACATTATTTTCTCAATTCTGTACATCTACACCACGTTTGTTGTGACAGGGAGACGTTGAAAGATGAAAAACAACACTTATGGATGGGAATGAAAAATCATCAATGCAAATAAATGAAATTTGACTTAAGGAGACTGAAATACACCCACGCTGTCTGACAGAAATGCATCAACACACACATTCACAGCAGTAAGAAAACACATAGATATAAACATGCTGCAGAGACTCCATTCACCAGCCGCTCTGTTCTACAGACACACATGCATATGAAAAAACGCAGTTTGAAGACCTACGCACGTATTCATACTCAGTGACACACACACACACACACACACACACACACACACACACACACACACACACACACACACACACACACACACACACACACACACACACACACACACACACACACACACACACATAGCTTGTTAGTCTGGCTTTGAAAAGGCACGGCCTCTCAATAGCATCATCTACCTCTCCCCTCTCTCCATTGTCCTCTCCTCACATCCATAGCCAGCCAATGAATGAGGAAACAGCCGCTACCTGTAAATGAACCACACGCTCCTGTTTCTGGGGCCCAGTGATGGCCACGAAGAAGAGAGGGAGAGAGAGAAATCTCTCTCTCCGCATCCCCCCATTGCCATGTCCCCCCCTCCTCTCTCTTGTACACGCTCTCTACCACTTCCTCCTCCTCCTCCACCCTCCTCTTCCTCAGTCGTCTGTTGAGAGCTCAGCCAGAGAGAGAGAAAGAGAGCGTGCCTGAGAGAGTGTGACAGTCTGCAACCCGCGTACTTCAGAGAAGAGAAAGACAATGTGAGAGGAGGATGGAGAGAAAGGAAGTACCAGCGTTTATCGCAACAAAGACAGAATGTGTGTATGTGTGTGTGTGTGTGTGTGTGTGTGTGTGTGTGCTGCTGGACAACAGAAAGAAGGATTGGTTGTAATGATAGGGCAGATGGAGATGCAGGGAGTGGGTGTTAATGTAAGGCAACAAGAGGGAGATATACGAGCTCTTGCGTCTTGCACATCTGCAAACTGGTGTGTCACAGCTGATTCCCATCCCGAATGCACACAACAATGCGTTTGCCACTTTGCTCCCCCCTTCATCGTCTTCCTTCAAACAGCTACCATCACCACACCACCCGCCTCGCAAATGCTCTCCTCTCTAGCTCTGTCTCTGAAATAGTCATTGACATTCTCCAAAATGTCAGATGACAGTGAGAGAACATGCCACGACTCACCACGCACTTAACTGAGCACCACCACAGTGCCACAGTTCGGCTCAAACAACTAAGCACATTGGTCTTCTATTTGAAAACATACCCCGAGAGATAACACCTGTCCCGTTTCACGCAAGGATTTAGAAAGGGATGTTTGATATTATCGAGGTAATTGTGTTATTAGGCAATTTTGGCAATAAAATAGAATATCGTAAGTTATTAGTATGAGTTTCTATTCTTTTAATGACTCAACTCTAACATATCATTTTAGACAGCAAAGTCTTCAGCTACTTCCCTCACTCAGAACGTGACAGATGCCAGGTGAGTGAAAGATATGTTTGTTGGTTTGGCACAGCTGGCCTAACATAAATGAAAGAAGTTGTCATATTTTGCACTGATAAATTATGCATGATAGTATATAGTGGTGTTGATTTATATTAGTATTAGAAATTAAGAATAAGGATATTGGTAAAAAAGCCAATATTGAACATCACTAGTTTTGAACTAAGAGAATCTTGAAGTGAAGAGATTCCAGCTGTTTTGGTTCAAATCTTAAACATTCTACACAGTTTGTTGATGTCTAGCATCTGCTAACATATCTAATTGTAGCTCAGTTTCCAAATAGGACTCAGCTGTAGCCCTTTTTGATTAGCTATGGCTGCCATCTTGAATCAGGCAATCATCCATTAGCATTCACCCAGTGATAACTTTCTGAAAATTTCATTACGGTCTGTTCAGTGCAATATCAGCCTAACGAACACACACAGGCAAAAACATTATCCCTGGGAGGGGTGTGTTAACGAGCACATCTGCACAGAAGTGACTTCAGAAGCAGCTCAGTATTAGTCCTCCTCTCCAACCTGAAGATCTCACCAATGCTTTACTCTCACTGTGACTTATCAGGAAGATGATGTAAAAATGTGCAAACACGCATAGATTCATAACACACCACAGCTGCACACAGCTTTCACACACAAGGAGAATAAATCTCTCCTTGATACCTTTTGATTTCTGCAAAATTCTGTTTATCCAAGCAACAAGAGAGGAAACATAGATGAGAGTCTCACTGAGACGTATGAGTTTGTCTGTTGGAGTCCAACAGAACAGAGTTTAAAATCAGACGCCGACGTCTAAACCTGATCAGCATAAAACAAACACCATGCGTTAGGACACAAAGCCCCAATGGATGATGTAAAAACCGCAGGTGAAGGTGTGGCGAGTATTTTTTCAACTGACTGGCTTCACATTCTAGTCTCACAATGATAAACCACACAAACTCTCATGTCCTCACTAATCCGTCTGCTCTGTAGACCCAGCAATCTATCACAGTTAACTTTTAAACTGACGTTTGTTTTAGCAACGTAAAAGTGGCATTCTTGCTTAAAATTAGCCAAACTTGTATTTTTGACTGAGCTTGTCATTTGCTGGTGAAGGCTGGTAAAGGTTCCCAGTTATCTAGGTCATGGTAATCCAAAGGGGCTCGAATGAACGCAACTGGACGTCTTTGGTTTCTTGAAGATGTTTTTTGGGGGGGTATTCATATGTAGTTTCTGCTCCTTAAGCAACAAAAAACAGCTAAAGTTTATAAGCTTGGCCCTCCCATATTCCAGTCAGAACTGACAAAGCTCCTCGGCTGAGAAGCTAAACATCTTCAAGAAACCAAAGAAGTCCAGTTGCCTTCATTTGCACTCCTTTGGATCTTGTCATTTGGCATATGAAATGAAAATCTCATATCTGTCCTTCCAAGAGAAGTAAAGTTTGGTTAAATTTTGTGATTGAACTGGTGACTTGGACAGATTGTTGCATCTGCCTCAGTCTTTTGTACCTGGGGCCGTCGGTGCCATCGTAAGCTCCCACTGTCACGTTGCGGAACAGCTTCCTCTTGGATTTTTCGCTGCGTAACTCTGAAACAAACATCCAGACAACATGTACGTGTAATTAGACCTCCCAGCTGCCATGACACCCTTCTACGTGTTTCTGTCAACATGACGTGGTATATTTACCGCCTAGTCTTATGTGCTCAGCATAACATATAGTTTGTTTCCCACCGACTGGCGACAGTCTTTATAAAATTTAAAACAACTCATGGAACATTCAGAAGTAGGTTTACGATTTTTGATGTTTTTCATGTGTAAACAGAAGAGCTGTTCTGTCTGCCCAAAGCAAACTGTTGCCTTCTTAGTGAAGTTCCATTAAAAACTAGTGAAACACAAGCATCCTACTTTAAAATGCAATCCTAGAGTGTTTTCACCTTTTTCCTTGGGAGCTGGCACTTCCTGCACACAGTCTGAAGGAAACCAGCCAGTGCGTCCTTTCACAGTTCCCTCCCAGTATCCCCCTTCTCCTACACTCAACACTGAGAAAGATGGAAATGGTGAGAAGAAAACAAACATGTCTGACTGAAAATTAAACATATTTAGTGTGCTCTCCAAGTGAGAATAGATGGTTATAGTAAGGTGTTGACAGTATAATTTTATATTAGTTCATAACCTAATAGCAGCAGAAGATTATCAATAATAAAATCCTTCTAGGTTTCCTAAGTAACATGAAATTATGTCTGCTGAGCTAATGAATCACTAGTGAGGTGTGTTTATTGATTATGTGCACGAGGCAAGTTAATCTTTGCTCACCTTTAACTTTGTCCCCTTTGCTGAGCGAGAGCTCTTTCTCCCTGCTGGCAGAGTGGGCTCGAGTGGCCACGTACACCCTCCCTGGTACTGCACTGTACATTCTCTTCATCTGACCCCCACCGCTGCTCGCCGAGGTTGCACTGTAGAAAGACAGGAAGTCGTTTAGAAGAGCGTGACATTATTTGTACACTGTGACGAACAAAACTGGTGATGTGCAGCTTGTCAGGCTGCACAACTGGCTCGTGCCGGTCACTCTGCGGTATGCCTGCTGTGGTGAGTCATTGTAATCAGTCATCTAAAGAAACTGTTTCAGCTTTTCAGTAGCAATGTTAGTATCTGGAAATATTTTAAATGAGAAACCCAGATTGTTTTGCATCTTTTTGGACTTTAAAACAGTGTTAGTGAGTCTTTCTCAGTTTAGCTTCAGTGGGTCAGAAAGTGTGAAAAAGTGTGAAAACCTTAACATGACTCAGGACAAAGAAAATGCAAATAAAATCAAGAGAACTTGTTCAGTAATAAAAGAGAACAAGGTCAGCTGCAGGTTTCTTCTGACGCAGGCGGACAACGAGAAACATACTTAGTCGTGATGACTTGATGAGCCTCAGTGTGCTGTCAAAAATAGAATCTAAACAAATAAATGTCATTTATTTTATGTCAGATGTCATGAATCCATTTTTAATCAATCAATCAATCAATCAATCAATCAATCAATCAATCAATCAACCAATCAATCAATCAATCAATCAATCAATCAATCACATTTTATTTGTAGGGTACCTTCCATTTCCTTTACAGAAGCCCAAGGCGCTGAACATGACATAAAAACAGTAAAAGACCACAAAAAAAAAAAACACCAGACTCTAAACCACATAAAAAGTGACTAAAATTATGAGACAGATAAGTTAAAAACATATATGATAAAAGACTAAAAATCTAAAATCCATATTATTTAAAAGCCAAACGATAAAAATGAGTCATCAATCGACTCTTGAAGGCCTGCACTGATGGGGACTGTTTGACAGCAAGTGGGAGCTCGTTCCATAGTGTTGGAGCAGGGACCAAAAAGGCCCTATCACCTCTTGTTTTGAACCTTGTTAGTGGGATGATGGGGCAAATCCTGGTCAGCCGAGCAAAACAGCTATGCACTGCAGGAACTTTTAGCTGCTGTAATGAGGCATCTCATTCATCCTGGGATCTATGTTTATGTTTATCATTTAGCAGACGCTTTTATCCAAAGCGACTTACAATTTATAACCTATAGGGCATGTTGTGATCTGTGGGGGAAACCGGAGTACCTGGAGGAAACCCACACATGCATGGGGAGAACACACAACTCCATGCAGAAAGGCCACAGCCGAGTTTCGAACCTGCAACCTTCGTGCTGCGAGGCAACAGTGCTAACCACTGCGCCACCATGCAGCCCAGAGAATCACCGCCTGCCACATGAGAGACTAGGTTTTTAGATGAACACTAACTTTGATTGATGTATCTTTATTAAGCTAAACACACACAGGTTATTTCCTTTACAGAAACATTACCCCTGTCTGCCTCTTGGTTGCCGATGCCTCTCCTCCGTATCACTTTGACCTCCCCTTCCTCTGGAGGGGGAACGTGTGCGAGTCCTGGGACTGCTGGAACTTCTGACTCCTATGGAGGCCCTGCGTTGGACCTGCAGGAACAGGAAGACATGCAGCATCAAGAGTTGATACATTAAAAATGAAAAATAAATAAATAAACAGCAGATGAGCTGAAAATACTGCATACCTGCCCAGGGTTGGGGCTGGTGGCTGCCTTGATGGGCAAGGCCATGGGGTCAGACTGGATCATGGTGTTATCACTGTTGGCACGCAGCAGGGGGTGAGAATGAAGCGAAGGAAGAGGCAGAGTGTGGATACTGTCTTTCCGTCTGGGAACAAACTTTGGTGATTCCAAAAAGGGAACTGAGGTAGGGGTGGTCAGGGGTAGCAGAGGTAAGCAGGAGGGAGGGGCAAGGTTTGATGTGATCATTAGAAGAAAGAAATCAGGATTTCTCAAAAACTTAGAAAAATGTGTACAAAGCAGGCTGGGTGTTGGATTTATATGGGGTGCTGATTGTGAAATAATAATAATAATAATTTAAAAAATACAATAACAGTAATAAAAGCAATAAAGGTGTGACTAAACTTTTATAATCCAGTTGAAAAAAGTTAAATCAAAATATTTAAAATAAAATTCAAAGTTCTAAGTTACTAAGCATATTTCAATTGCAGTTTAAAATGTGTTAATTTAAATGTGAAAATCCAATCTAAATCTTTGTCTAATACGAAATATTTCAATTAAATCTCAACTATACAAACAATTTAATATATTTAGAAAACAAATGTAAATACATAGTTAAATAGAAATGTTTTAAACTAAATCTGATATGAGTTATTGCTTAATCGGGACATTTAAATAAGAATATTAAGATTTAAATGTCAACCGTTAAGGTGCTATTTTATGATTAGAATAATTAATTATAGTATGTTTAAGGTAAATATAACTCAAAATGCCATAAATGAATGACCATCAAAATAAAAATGGTGAGAAGAGACCTCTTATTTAAGTGTTTTAATGGTAAGAGTGTGTGAGTTTGAATGAATTTTTTATCAATACACAGGAAGAACCCAGACAGAAACATCAATAAATGATATCTGGTTAAACTGACCCAACAATATTAACATTAGAAGAATTCTGCAACATTAGATTGAGGATCTCTTCACCCAGATTTTATTTTGATAGGTAACTTCCTTATATGAATTAGCATGTTGCCTACTTACACTCACTGGCCACTTTATTGGGTACACCTTGCTACTACCGAGTTAGACCCCCTTTTGCCTTTAGAACTGCTTTAATCCTCTGTGGCAAAGATTCAGCATGGAATCATTCCTCAGAGATTCTGGTCCATATTGACATGATAGCATCACGCAGTTGCTGCAGATCTGTCGGCTGCACATCCATGATGTGAATCTCCCGTTCCACCACACTCCAAAAGAGCTCTGTTAGATTCAGATCTGGTGACTGTGGAGGCCATCTGACTACAGAGACCTCATTGTAGAAACCAGTCTGAGATGATTCGAGCTTGCTTATGACACGGCTCGTTATCCTGCTGGAAGATGGGTACACTGTGGTCATAAAATAATGGACATGGTCAGCAACTACACTCAGGTAAGCTGCAGCATTGTAATGATGATCAATCAGTACTAAGGGGCCCAAAGTGTGCCAAGAAAATATCCCCCACACCATTACACTACCACCACCAGCCTGGACTGTTGATACAAGGCAGGATGGATCCATGCGTTCATGTTGTTGTTGCCAAATTCTGACCATACCATCTGAATGCAGCAGCAGAAATCGAGACTCATCAGACCAGGAAACATTTTTCCAGTCATCTATTGTCCAATTGTGGTGATCCTGTGAAAATTGTAGCCTCAGTTTCCTGTTCTTAGCTGACAGGAGTGGCACCCAGTGTGGTCTTCTGCTGCTGTAGCTCATCTGCCTCTAGCTTCATAGTGTTGTGTGTTCAGAGATGTTCTTCTGCAAACCTCGGTTGTAACAAGGGGTTGTTTGAGTTACTGTTGTCTTTTTTTCACCTGAAACCAGTTCGGCCATTCTCCGTGACCTCTGGCATCAACAAGGCATTTTGCCCACAGAACTGCCGCTCACTGGATGATTTCCCTTCTTCAGACCATTCTCTGTAAACCCTAGTAATGGTTCTTAGTGACAATCCCCGAAGATCAGCAGTTTCTAAAATATTCAGACCAGCCCGTCTGGCACCAACAACCATGCCACATTCAAAGTCACTTAAATCACCTTTCTTTCCCTTTCTGAAACTTGGTTTGAACTGCAGCGGATTGTCTCTTGACCATGTAAACATGCCTAAGTGCATTGAGTTACCACCATGTGATTGGCTGATTAGTAATTTGTTTTAATGAGCAATTGGACGGGTGTACCCAATAAAGTGACCAGTGTGTATTTAGTTTAACATTGCTTTTTTACATTTCAGCATTTAGATACGCTTTGTACACATTCACATTTGAATCAGAATTTTTAAATTTACCGTCCATCACTGTAATTATTTGGGTTAACATTTTATCCTAAAAAAATATGGTGACTTAAATGATGTAACATCCACATTTTTAAATTATGAGGTCATAAAAATGAAAAAACATAGCTGTTAAAGTGCTAAACATGACATGTCTAATTTTTTAATGTTATTTTACAAACTGTGGCCCATATAATGACTCCTTAAACCTCCCCGTCAGAGCTGACTGATTCAAAGTCTTACCTACGTCTGAATCTTTGTGGTTTTTGATGATCTCCCCAAGTTCAAAGTGACCAGACATTACTGCCACCTGCAAACAGAACATTTCTCTGCTCAAACCGCAAGATAAAAATGTCAAAATATGTTTCTTGGTTTAAAAATTGGACTTTTGATCATTTACCTGAAAGGGGGTCTGGCCATGCTTGTTCTTTGCCTCCTTATTTGCTCCTCTGTACAGAAGAACTCTCAGACAGCTTTCCTGAACATTGAGAGGGAAGGTTAAAAATCAGTATTTTGTGGCATGATTCCATAAATGCAAGCCGTCGTTGTTTCCACACTTGCCTTATTGTACAGGGCTGAAATGTGAAGCGCAGTGCTCCCCGAAGCGTTTTGAGAAGCAGCGTCTGCTCCGTAAAACAGCAGATGCTCCAAGTGTTGTGCAAGGCCATTCTGACAAGCCTTTTAGAGTCGAGCATGTGGAGATGCACGAAAATTCAAAGTACATGTGGATGCAAGTTGATTTAACAGTAACACACATGCAGGAGGAGAGGGCAAAATTATTTTCTCATAGAAGGGGACAACTGTGCAGTGTTGGTTTTCTCATATTTTTCTGCAGGGACTAGAATATCCCAAGAAACAAACAGAGTAAGGAAAGAAAACATTAAGCAGCAAGACCAAAATAAAATACCATGACAACTGGCTTGCAGCACAGATTTACCAGAACGTCACAGCAACAGAACGTAGGCAATGCACCTGATTATTCAGTACTGGAAAGAGATAGACTCCCATGCACTTTCTGGACTGGTGTCATCCAGGAATTGCCCAGATTCTAACTGGTTTAGTGGGAACAACACAACTGCCTCGTTCACATCAGTTTTAACATGATAGTACGGTTAGTAGGGACTTTGAGAAGGGGGGTGAAAGGTACCTTATGTATTTCTTCCATTCCAAACTCCTCTTCATCCCTGAGCTATGGAGAGAAGAGGGAAGGAGGGACATATAATGAAGCGATGAGTGAAGAGGATAGTGTGTAAAAATGTGTGTAAAAACACTGCGGGAGTCTGAGGGTACTGGTGCATGACAAATATCACAGATATGTGAGAGAGGAATGATGGTGCATTGCTAACACTGACTGGAGTTGTTTTACATGAAAAATATGGGAAAACAATGAAAGTAACAGTCCACAAACCCACTGACTTGTGTCATCAATCTACCTGATGGCTCTCATCCCAGCCATTCTCATCCCTGGTCCCCAGCTTTGCTCTGTAGTAGAGCAAAGTCTCACAGCAAGAAGTGTCGCCCCCTGTCAGCAAAGTGTGGTACAGCGGGGTCAGGCCACAACGGTCCTTGTAGTCTGGAGACGCTCCAAGAGACAAAAGAGCCTGAAGGAAATGATGAGATGGGACTTTTTAAATGTATGTGTTTGAGTGACCATGAGTAATGGTAATACCATGCTCTATTAACATTTTTAATGTGGGAAAAAAACTGGTAACTTGAATTGTGGCCGGTTTCTGTAAGTGCAGCACGATGGATTTCAGAAATGACATCTGTTGCAAACATGAATTAAAAATGTATTTCTAACATCCACTCTCATTAAAGCCAAATTATGCAACGTTTTTGTACTTTAAATGATAATACGGAGCTAGTATGTGCTAGATTGACCCTTTACAAGGTTAATGAAATGTCACTCAGACTCCCACCGCCCTCTGTGACCAGAATGCCGCACTTGTAACTTAAGAGTGCCACTGTTGGCACTGGAGTCTGCTTCCAGCACATTTCCTGCATGTTTTAGATCATGACCACAGCTGATTTGTTTAATTTAGTGTCCTGTAGACACAAATGAACATCTCAGCTGTTAGATTAAGGTGTTAAAAAGACGAATGCACAGCAAGGAGATACGTTTCACTTTAGTTTCACTAACGAACACTAGGGGGTACTAAAAGCAAACAAAACTGCATAAAAGGTGATAATAAGAAAAGTAATAATATTTATTATCTCCAAATAGTTTGATTTTATGAATTATTTTGTGTTACCTCTCATTCTGGTTTTGTTCACGCTTAAACAAAAAAAAACATTATGTTTCCTAAGTGGTCGACGTGCTGATATAAGGGTTAAAACAGGAGAAAATAAATGTAAGTGGACCCTCTTTATAAAGTCTGTAGATATTTATACAGTAAACAAAAAACAATAATTTAAATGTGATTTTAATTAAGTCAATTTTACAAACACTGAACTGAAATGTGATGTTGTACGGTTAGATCGAAAACCGCATTAGTTCCATTTAGATTCATCACATTGCATTATCCTTTTCCAGTACTTGTGGATTGGTTTTGGAGCCCTCACCAGCAGCCCGCTGTGATTGTGAGCTCTAACTGCTTTGTGCAGAGCCGTCATGCCGTCTGAGCTCCTGAAGTCCAAGTGAGCTCCACCCAGAACCAGAAGCCCGATGCCTTCCACCGACAGGCCGGACTGCATGGCCACGGAGAGTGGGGTCTCTGACGGAGGGCAGAGGTTAAACATTCATTTAGTAAAGCTGTTCAAATGGGAATCCTTTGTGCAACGTTGTGAGGAGAACCCTACCTCCGCTGTCTGGGTCATGAAAATTTGGGTCAAGACCTTTCTCGAGGACTTTAGCCATTTTCTCCATTGCTCCGGTCTGAACATACTCCAGAAACTTCTTTTGACTGGCCTGATGGTAAAAATGTTATTTAAGCACATGAAAGAGTGGAACTTAAAGGTGAGCAGCTTTGAACAAACTAAAACCAAATACCTTTGAGCTGAATTTAGCCAGAGCCTTTTCATCCAGGTTGGTTTGCTTATAAACTCTGGTTTTATACCTAAACTGAGGACAGAGAATGGATCTGTGTTAAGAGTGCTAATCATGCAGCAACATCGTTCTGTTTCTCAGAGACGTCAGAAAACATTCTGCAGTAAATCAGTAGTTCAGGAGCAGCATCATTATTCTTGTATACTGCAGCCAAACTCTCACTGTTTCCAGAAAATCACTCTCCCACTCAAACTCACTGGAACAACACCGTGATTCATTTCCGTACAGCATAAAGCCAGATTAGGGTTTGTTTATGGGAGAAGGCAGGAAGGCAGGGATTAGCTAAAAACTTCCTTCCTCAAACCTGAACATGAGCTAAGTGAGTGAGTGTGTTTGTTTTACAATAAAAACACGAGGTCACAAAATACAACTAAATCCATCCATCCATCATTCTGTCCATCCATCCATCCATCCATCAGTCCATCCATCCATCCATCAGTCCATCCATCCATCCATCCATCCATCCATCAGTCCATCCATCCATCCATCCATCAGTCCATCCATCCATCCATCCATCCATCCATCCATCCATCTATTCATTTATCCCACCATCTGTCCGTTTATCCATCTGTCCACCATTGTGTCTATCCAACCATTTGGCCATCTGTCATTTAGCTTGTCCATTCGTCTATCTATCTATCTATCTATCTATCTATCTATCTAACTATCTATCTATCTATCTATCTATCTATCTATCTATCTATCTATCTATCTATCTATCTATCTATCTATCTATCTATCTATCTATCTATCTATCTATCTATCTATCTATCTATCTATCTATCTATCTATCTATCTATCTATCTATCTATCTGTCTGTCTGTCTCTGTCTACCTACCTACCTACCTACCTACCTACCTATCTATCTATCTATCTATCTATCTATCTATCTATCTATCTATCTATCTATCTATCTATCTATCTATCTATCTATCTATCTATCTATCTATCTATCTATCTATCTATCTATCTATCTATCTATCTATCTATCTATCTATCTATCTATCTATCTATCCATCCATCATTCTGTCCACCATCCATCCATCCATCCATCCATCTGTTCATCCATCTATTCATTTATCCCACCATCTGTCCGTTTATCCATCTGTCCACCATTGTATCTATCCAACCATTTGGCCATCTGTCATTTAGCTTGTCCATTCGTCTATCTATCCATCTATCTATCTATCTATCTATCTATCTATCTATCTATCTATCTATCTATCTATCTATCTATCTATCTATCTATCTATCTATCTATCTATCTATCTATCTATCATCTATCTATCTATCTATCTATCTATCTATCTATCTATCTATCTATCTATCTATCTATCTATCTATCTATCTATCTGTCTGTCTGTCTGTCTGTCTGTCTGTCTGTCTGTCTGTCTATCTATCTATCTATCTATCTATCTATCTATCTATCTATCTATCTATCTATCTATCTATCTATCTATCTATCTATCTATCTATCTATCTATCTATCTTTCATCTATCTATCTATCTATCTATCTATATCTATCTATCTATCTATCTATCTATCTATCTATCTATCTATCTATCTATCTATCTATCTATCTATCTATCTATCATCTATCTATCTATCTATCTATCTATCTATCTATCTATCTATCTATCTATCTATCTATCTATCTATCTATCTATCTATCTATCTATCTATCATCTATCTATCTATCTATCTATCTATCTATCTATCTATCTATCTATCTATCTATCTATCTATCTATCTATCTATCTATCTATCTATCTATCTGTCTGTCTGTCTGTCTGTCTGTCTGTCTGTCTGTCTATCTATCTATCTATCTATCTATCTATCTATCTATCTATCTATCTATCTATCTATCTATCTATCTATCATCTATCTATCTATCTATCTATCTATCTATCTATCTATCTATCTATCTATCTATCTATCTATCTATCTATCTATCTATCTATCTATCTATCTATCTATTTATCTATCTATTAATTTATCTATCCGTTTGTCTATCCATCCGTCATTCTGTCCACCATCCAGCCATCTATCCATCCATCCATCCATCCGTCCACCCATCTATCCATCCATCCATCCATCCATCCATCCATCCATCCATCCATCCATCCGTCATCAATCACCTGGTGAACAACATCAATAAATTCTCCCTAAATTTCTTGGTTTCATAGTTTTTCACAGTCACTTTGGTGCATTTCTTTCAACAGAATTAAACTTTGCACAACAGTTAGTGCAACCTTCACAACGTTGTTTTTCTTTTATTTAATATTCTGTCGTTTAATACCTTAAATGTCACTGTGCAGATGCCCTCTTGGTAGAAGAAGGCTATGAGAGATCCTGATTGGGTGACTGGGAGGAGCAGACCTTTGAAGATGTCAGCCAAGATCAAGAAGATTCTTTCCTCTGTGTATTGAGCTGATATTCGTTGTGATGTAGATGGAAACATGTGGCCAGACAGATGGGAGTTTCTAGCTGGTGAGTTTATATTTGTTCATGTTTTTTCTTCCAGTTTCACAATGCGGTGAACAGTCGCAAATATATAGTATAAAGTAAGTTTATATTCAGTGTCTTGATTTCTATTTACATCTTGTTTTCTGAATGCAAAGCATGGTACATACTGCTACTGGGAAGCACTTCCAGAAAGAATGAGTGAGCACATGGGTGGGGATTTTCAGAACAATCTGGTTTCCTCCCCTGAACCAGAAATGTAATTGCCCTCACTGCCATATAAGGTGTGAGTGTGAATTACTGTGTGTCTTAATTGTATTTGTGTGTCCATGTAATAGACTGGTGACCGGTCCAAGATGTCCCCTGCCACCTGCACAATAGCTGCTGTAGATAGACACACAACCCTGCTGAGGAATAAGTGGCTTAGATTTTGAGAAAAAAAACACTATATGGAAAAAATCCTCTTAAAATGCCTTTATTGTTCAAATATGAGAAGTTATTGTTTTAAAGGCTGACACCACAGGATCATATAGGTCTGAGTCATTCAGAAATATGAATGAGGAAAAGACAACTTTTAAGTCCTGGACTGAACAGAGACCCGTGCCACTTAATATCTTAAATGAGAACTACTTGTATCGAATATTCTATATTACTGGTATGACACACACATAAGTCTCAGTTGTTTTTTATTAAATATAGAGATAAAATTTCATTCAAAACACAATTTACTCAATTATTTTCCGACAAAAATAGTTTTTATTCATTTCTCTATGTGTTAGTTTAAAATTCTGTCAGGAACACTGGCACATCTTCATCTGAAGCTCTGAGACCAGTGAGTCTGTGGCAGAGACAGAAGCATTTACAGCACCTCAACCAGCAGAGGGCGCTGTGAGCTAACGACGTCACAGCAGGAAAACTCACTTCTTCACAACCCATTGACCAAAACTAAATGTGTTCTCACTAGCTGATTATGAAATAAACATAATGTGATTAAACCCATTCAGTTTGTGAAAAGGTCATTAACTTCGCCCATTTAGAGCTCAAAGAAGACTATTTCTTTGCCGTTTTAATAATTGATGAACACTTGTAGCTGCTGCTGAGTTCACTCGGTCGTATCAGACTTTTATGAAACACACATTTAACCAGCTTCTCTGCTGTAGCCCAGAACAAGAGTTCAGGAGGTTTACAGCCTTAGAAAAAGATATTGAAGTCGTAACTTTTCTCAGCTTAACAAATGAATGAATGAAGATTGACCCTATATGGACTGTTGCCATTGGTGTGAACAAGTCACTGCTTTGCAAGTCACAAGTAAGTCACAAGTCTTTCCAATCAAGTCTCAAGTCAAGTCCAAGTCAAAGACAACCAAGTCCAAGTCAAGTCCAAAGTCAATGATGTGGAAGTCCCAGTCAAGTCCAAGTCCTTACCTTTGAATTTCCAAGTCATAATCAAGTCATCCATCAAACTTCAATTTAATGGCAATGATAATAAATAAATTCCCGGATTAAGGCTTCTTAAAGCTTCATTTATTTGCTCAAACAAGCAGGAAGTGCAGCTGAATCTGATCATAAACAAAGTGCTGCTGCAGTTAGCAGAAAAGATCAAACCCAAAACCAAGAATGATTTATTATTTTTGTCCATGTCGTGCCACATTTGTGCTAAAATATCAAATATGTTCAAGTCATCATCAAGTCAACAGATGCAAGTCGATTCAAGTCGCAAGTCATTGGCGTTCAAGTCCGAGTCAAATCGTAAGTCTTTATAGATTTTATCAAGTCAAGTCAGAAGTCATTAAAATAATGACTCAAGTCTGACTTGAGTCCACGTCATAAGACTCGAGTCCACATCTCTGACTATTACTCATGACTGTGAGTGAAAGCAGGCCTAAGAAGAAAGAAAAAAATGATACTGAAATTCATTGTTTTTACAATAGATAAATATCTCAGAGCTGTTTATTTATTCATATTTCCTTCATCATACCTCCAGGTATGGCATGCCTTTCTCATAGGACCGAGCATAGTCCCTCAGCAGGCGCTCCTCCTCCAGGAACTTGGCATCCCGTCCCTCTCCGGCCGGCTGGAAGAGGCCGTAGTTGTAGGCGTCCCATAAGGATTCACCCAGAGAGAGGATGATCTGCTGCTTAGCGCTCCACACGGTGCAGTCCTGGTCAAACTGAAGACATCTCTGGAGATCAGAACAGAGGAGGGGTCAGAGGTTGACCTCGTTGCACTCATTTGCTGTAGCATTATTTTTATTAGCTTGTGGAATGTTTTTAAAAAAATACATCTATGCGGAGTTTCTTTCCTTTTATTTCTCTTTGAAGTTCTGTAGTAATGATCTTACGATTAGAACTAGATGGACGTAAGATCCTCTCCAGTTCATCTCAAAGATTAAGTCGGATGCAAAAGTTTTCGCAGCCTTGATAATCTTCATGATTTTCCTGTCTAATTCGTTGGCTGTTATAATAAAAAATGTCAGTTAAATATCTCACATAGGAGACACACACAGCGATTTTTGAGAAGTGAAACAAAGTTTGTTTACAGAAAGTGCGCAACAATAGTTTAAATCAGATCAGGCAGGTGCATAAATGTGGGTATTGTTGTCATTTTATTAATTCCAAAAGCTTTAGAACTTGATTTGGTAAGCTCAGTGACCCTTAACCTCCATACACAGTTGAATCCAATTATGAGAAACACTATTTAAGGGGTCAATTTGAAGTTTCCCTCCTCTTTGAATATTCTCTGAAGAGCAGCAACATGGGGGTCTCAAAACAACTCTCACATGAGCTGAAAACAAAGATTGTTCACCATCATGGTTTATGGGAAGGACACAAAAAGCAGTCTCAGAGATTTCAGCTGTCTGTTTCCACAGTTAGGAACATATTTGGGAAATGGAAGACCACAGAAACAGTTCAAGTTAAGGCTGGAAGTGACAGACCAAGAAAAATCTCAGATAAACAGAAGAGAAGAAATGGTGAGAACAGTCAGAGTCAGCCCACAGACCAGCACCAAAGACCTATAACATCTTCTTGTTGCAGATGGACTCACTCTGCATCGTTCAGCTATTCAACACCTGTTACCTACAGTAAAACATGGTGGTGGTTCCATCATGCTACGGGGGGCTGGTGCCTATCTCCAGCGGTCAATGGGCAATCAGGCAGGGTACACCCTGGACAGAGAGCCAGTTCATTGCAGGGCAACATAGAGACACACAGGACAAACAATCCTGCACACACACACACACACACACACACACACACACACACACACACACACACACACACACACACACACACACACACACACACACACACACACACACACACACACACACACACACACATACACTCACACCTAAGGACAATTTAGACAGACCAATTAACCTAACAGTTATGTTTTTGGACTGTGGGAGGAAGCCGGAGCACCCGGAGAGAACCCACGCACGCACAGGGAGAACATGCAAACTCCATGCAGAAAGATCCCAGGCCGGGAAGCAAACCCAGGACCTTCTCGCTGCAAGGCAACAGCTCTAATCACTGCACCACTGCGCAGTCGCTTTGGAGGAATTGTGTCATGAATTTAGTGTCATACACACACACACACACACACACACACACACACACACACACACCACATGACACCATGCTTATCCTGACAAGTAACCAAGTGAAGACTGACGGCCCGCCAGGCTTATAAAGTGCTGGGAGAAACCTTGGACATGAGAATCTAGGGTGAGAGCTTGGTCACAGGTCACACCAAGACTCCTGACAGAGGGTTTAGGAGGTTCCCAGCCATCCAAGTTTTAATAGTATACTGTAAGTAGGAGTGTAACAGCTGCAGCTTAGACAACTCATGGGGTTTAAAGGAGATGCACAGTTGGATGTCATCTGCATAAAGATGGTAGGAGATTCCTTTAAAGAAACTCAGGGTGCGCTGAAGAGGAAGCAGATAGAGGAGGAAGAGTAGAGGCCCCAGCACAGAACCTTATGGGACACCATGGGTGAGGGATGTGGTGGAGGACCTAAACTTGATGATGGTCTCTGAGATGGAGCGCTCAGACAGATAAAAGGAGAACCACTCCTGAGCAGTTCCTGATAGGCCTACCCAGTGTCTCAGCCTCTCCAGTAGCAGGTGATGGTCAATAGTGTCAACCCAGCTTGGAAAGATGAGACCACCCATGGAGGTCTCATAGGCAGTCATGTTAACCATGTTATAATTATATTCAATAGATTTCAAAAGGCAAATCAGTTCAGAGTTGCGCTATTTCAGAAAAACTTAATTTTTAAATGTTCTTCTTTCTGAAGAAGCACAGGGCAACAACTCAATTAAATTCATTTCACTTATCCACAGATAGTTGTCTCTGGTGTGTTACAATTGTAAACATTCCAATTGAACCTACTTATCAGTGCAGTGAGTTCAGTTCATTATTCCACTTAGTTAAAAGCTTCATGTATCAGGAAACCCAGCAGTTTGCAGTGAGTGACCCTGTGGGGAGAAACTTCCAGAATAACCAGAATCGGGTTAAGGATGCTTCTGTTATTGATGCCGCACTTTATCTGATGGGTTTGACTGATGAGTGTGTTTGCATTTATTCCACAGAAATGTTTTATTAAACGCACATTTTTGCTGCTTTGCAAAAGAAGCAACAGACTTTTAATTAGTCCTTTTGTTGTTTTTTCTCAGTTATTTTGTATTCTCAGAATTAAAACTGAGACGACTTTATCATGAAAAACAACACCTAGTTTAACAAAGCATCACTTTTTCTTGCTTCAATGATAGCTATAGCTATGTGCGCGAGCAAGCACGCGTGTGTGTGTGTGTGTGTGTGTGTGTGTGTGTGTGTGTGTGTGTGTGTGTGTGTGTGTGTGTGTGTGTGTGTGTGTGTGTGTGTACATCTGCTTCAACATCCTGTCGACAGGTTTTTATAATTAGGAATGGCAGGACAGTCTTACATCTGTCAGTAAGTGATGAATGCATGTGAATGGGATGTGTGCAGATTATAAACCCGCTCCTTTTACATAATTCATCACCTGCCACATTCATGGGAGTCAGATGACTCGTGGTTTCATTTCAGTCTTAGCTATTTATTTTCACACCATTCTGTTTTGTTGTAATGAAGATGTAAAAGTTTTATTACTGAGATTTTCCGTTTGTGCTGTATGGGAAGTGTTAAATCAACACCACCTGCAAAAGGAGAACAAAGCACTTTGTATAGAAATTCTCCTTCTCCACTTATTGCTTGTCTGTTATAAACCCGAGGCCCCAAAATGAAAAACTATCCCAGATGAATTCAGCTTAACTCGATTTCACTGCTCATTTCTTTATATTTCTCTGTTTTCTTCATCTTCTTTATTGTCCTTATTAAATTGTGGACAGTGTGACAGAAAATGCTGCTTCAAACAACAGGGCTGCTGAATGAGACTTTACATCAACAGCAAAATTGCACAGCTCAGCACACTCCTATGGTCCCCCACCCATCCTCACTCACTTTGAGCCCTGACTAGGTTGCACTGTTTGATAGTACGGCCGACTCTATTGGCATGGCAACCGCTTCATTAGTGGAGGCAGGCTCCCGTTACCGTAGCAATGCCTTAGTGGTCCCCAGGAGGTAAACCACATGATGTACATGAATAAGTGTGTGTGTGTTTACGTTCACGCATAGTGAGCCATGATGTAGCGGTGCATATTCTTATGGGAGTGTGTGTGTGTGTGTGTGTGTGTGTGTGTGTGTGTGTGTGTGTGTGTGTGTGTGTGTGTGTGTGTGTGTGTGTGTGTGTGTTTGTGTGTGTGTGTGTGTGTGTGTGTGTGTGTGTGTGTGTGTGTGTGTGTGAAAGAAAGCCATAGGAAGACCAATCGCTGCAGAGGGAATGCTGATATATTGTATACAGTGTGTTATAAAGGGACTTCGTAGGTCCCAGGTTTATTTTGTTCAAAAACATTTGCTTTATTCCGGTGTTTCTGGCCGTATTCAGCTTTGAAATCGTTTCTTTACATCTGTAGCATTCTTCATCTGATCTTACTGACTCCTCAGCTTTTTACTCTCTTTCTTTAATTCACCTCAGTGTCGTATTTTTTTTCTTATCTTATTTCAGTTGCATGGTTTAAGGGTGCTGCTTTGTGCCGTGCCCCTGGTTGGTGAGGACTTCAGAAGAAATGCAGAAACTCACTACATATCCAGCGTCACTCCCTCCACAACTCTCCCCAAACTCATTAAAAACCTATTAGATAATTAGCAATTACTGTTATATTGAGGGCAGATTAGCTGACATGTAGAACACTTGGCATGTTCAGGGATTTGGAAATGGAGGAAGGAAGATGGGGAGGAGGGGTTTTTACCTTGGGTCTGGCACATGTGTGGGCTTATCAATTCTCACCTGCTGCCACCAGGAAGCTGACAGCTCTAAGTGTGAAATGATGCTAACTTAAGTTTTGGAACCTAATCATGACCACGCTCAACTCAAGCAGATGCTCTTGATTGTATGATCCACAAACCAGTCAAGCTCTGCGTGATCTTCTTCTTCATTTAGTGCTTTTCTCTGGACTTGTGATGAAATTTTACAGAAGTTTTCATGTAGCACCATCACCCTAATACCAAAACCACCTTTACGTTCATTAGCCTTGGGCTCTTTATGATGCTTCATCCAAAAGCTCACTTTTTTACACCATTGTACAGTGATCATGTGTGAGCTATGTGTGTAAACATCCTGACCAGGATGTGGATAAAAACCAATCAATGGTTTCCTGGAGGGTCCGATGTGGGACTGGAGATCGTTTTTAATCGATGTGATCATGAGAAGTTTAGAGATCTTGTAAAAACCGTTCTTCTAAAACAATATTTTTTATTTGACATTTTCATAAACATTCATTGTTTCTGGAAATGTTCAGGCTGCACAGTGGTGCAGTGGTTAGAGCTGTTGCCTTGTAGCAAGAAGGTCTTGGGTTTGCTTCCTGGCTAGGAATCTTCTTGCATGGAGTTTGCATTTTCTCCCTGTGCATGCGTGGGTTCTCTCCTGGTGCTCCGGCTTCCTTCCACAGTCCAAAAACATGACTGTTAGGTTAATTGGTCTGTCTAAATTGTCCTTAGGTGTGAGTGTGTGTGTGCATGGGTGTTTGTCCTGTGTGTCTCTGTGTTGCCCTGCGATGGACTGGCTATCTGTCCAGGGTGTACCCCGCCTGATTGCCCATTGACCGCTGGAGATAGGCACCAGCCCCCCCCCCCCCCCCCCCCCCCCCCACACACACACACACACACACCCCACACACACACACACACACCCTCCCCCCACCCCGCGACCCTGCGTGGACAAAGCGGGTTCAGAAATTGGATGGATGGATGGAAATGTTCAAAGGAGATGAAAAAAGACCCAGAAGGACACAGTAACTCTGCCAGGCCTGTGTGTGGTGCTGTAATGAAACTTAACTGAGTCATGACAGAAGCATGCTCATAAAAAGAATACAGTAAATAAGAAGATGAAGATCTGATGGAGTTGTACGATAGGTTACAGGTGGAACGATGACATTTTCAAAAGGAGGCATTTTGGTCATCCACATGAAAAACTCAAGGGTGGTATTTTAAAACACTGTAGCATCAGAGCGTGGATTCATTTTGTCTCCTTTGAGCCTTTTCATAAACCCTAAAGACCATTGTTGACCTGCTGAAGACGTTGGAGAGGTTTTCAGTTCAGTGGCAAACATGAGCACCACGTTTATGTTGCCAGAGAATCGTGTGGCCATAAAAGTGCGTCTTTGATTGATGAGCACATGAAGTTCCTTATGTGGCCATGAAATCAAGCCGCTGTCTGTCGGCCAAACTTAGAATAGAGTCATTGGAGACTCTTTTGGCACGTTGACTGCTAAAACTAATGTTTTTCTATGTTGTAAGATTTATTTAGCAGGTTTAGTTTTATCTACACTTACACACATAGATGAGTTAGAGCCAAATGCAAACATCGTATAACTGATTTCATAATACTTCTGAAATTCTTTGTATCAAATTAAAGCTACATTGAGGCGGTAATACCAGAGAGACTTGGCTTGAACTACTTCCTCATTTGGAAAGACCTCCTGTCAGTGCCCTGTTTGAAGTAGGAAAACTTATACCTAAACTTTTAACTTTTACTGGTTTTAATTGACGAGTCAAAAAACATTTGAAGCAGCAAATAAAGTTGCACTAAAGAAATCACAAATGTTATGCACTAGAAGCTTTACACTTTGCATTAAAAATCTGTGTGAAAAAGATGTGTAAAAACTGTGTTCGTCCTTTCTGTTTCCACAGGATTTTAGAGGGAACATGTCAGCCAGGCATTGTTGATCAGATGAGTTACTTAGCTGCTCATCATCAGTGTGATAACCTCCGTAAAACCAGAAAAAAACTGAAATTATGGAAGTTTGCTGCTCTGGACAGGTCACTTCCAGCAAAATTATAGTCCATTCATTTAGTATAGAGGAAGCAAAACAAATTCGGGGCGGGGCCAAGACATCAAGGCGAGATTCTTTGGCACTGAGAACAGGTGTTTCTCAGTGCCAAAGAATCTCGCCTTGATGTCTTGGTCCTGACCTGGTTGCCTAGGAGATAAGTCATCAGGAACCGCCAAGACGTGTTCCAACGTACATGTTCTACCGAGGCGTCTATTCTCTGTTTGTTAGTTGTTTAGCTAGCTGAGCAAGGATACGCAGGAGGTGTCTTTTAACCTGGCCTTGGTCAAAATTTCCCAGAATACACCACTGTATTTTCAATAGGACGGCGGATCAGAAGCCGGCAGCTGCTTCGGGGACAATTTTCAAGTTTAAATGTAAGTCAACTAATTGTAGCTATCGGGCTAATATCTGAAATGTTATCTATGGTTGGTTACTCGCTTATTAGTTGCAGCTTCGGTTGCTAGCGGGTAGTAACTCGCTTACATATTTAACTTAACCAATATATACACAATTTAAAAAGTAAAAGTCTCATTATATATTTATATTGAAACTTATAAGTGTAAAATATAACGTTGTCTCAAGTGTCATGTGACGTTAAGTGACTGCTGTGGAAGCTGCGGTCACATGATGCAAGTCTGTTCCATTTAACCGTTTTCTTTGATCAAGCATAAGCATAAGAAAGGTGCCTGACCTCGCAAGACATCGCCTTGCGAGTTCAGGCACCTTAACATTGAGAAACACCTTTAGACACGCTCCTATGTATTTTAGACCCGATTTTTATGGTTATACGTTACAAAGCTGCCAATTTTCAGTGACTGGGCATCATTTAATTAATGTCCAACAACATTTCATGGATGTTTCTAGAGAATATTGGCAAAAACTACATGTTGTTGCTTTCATTAAAAATCCAGACCTTCTGATTAACTCATTAACTGCAGTTGACGGCCCGCACCGTGAGAACAAACATCCCAGCTCTTAAGCCGATCTTCATCTGCGTACGTCACGTGATCAGGAAGCAGAAAATCCATGTGTTAGGAGATCGTTTTGGGCTGCTGCTGTAAAAAAAAAGGTGAGACACAAACCAGAAAAGCTTCTGCCGATCACAATTCGACAATGGATTATGAAAGAACGGATAACGCTTGAAACGTGCGGATTCTTCCTGATGTAAGAGGTGAGTTTACTCTTTGTTTTGGTAGTTTTGGTGTTGACATCATCATAGAGCGCAACGTTCCGTGAGTCTTAAAAAACAGTGAAAATGCTGAAAAACGCTGGCAGCGAAGGGCTTTTTCTGATCAAAAACGACTGGCAGTGAATGAGTTAAATCTCTGCTGCCAAAGGGGGTGCTGTTGGGTCACATGTTGGACTTTGCCATTTAGACTTTGGGGTTAAGGTTAACTTTTTGTTTAATACATTTGCTGTAAGATTCGTTAAGACTATTAGTTTCTCATTCATCAAGCTGTAAATTTGAGTGTGTGTGTCCTTGTAAGCATATACAGAGTTCTGGGTGCACCTACTGTTTGTTTGATGTCAGGGATTCCAATCCGAAACACTGTCATGGTCAGGAAAGTGTCCTCCTGTGGAGTCATTGCAGTCATGCTGCGCTCCATGAGAGCCCGTCTCTTAGCAGCCATCAGATGCTGCGGCTTGTTGGCAACATGGCGGTGTGGAGCCTGGTTGGACATGTGAGGGATGCCCCGGTTTTCCAGGTTACCTAGCCTCAGTGGCCGGTCTACTCTCTGTCTACCAACCACAATGGCTGCAGGTTTCGCCACGTCACCAACTTTCCCTTCCCAGGACTGTCGTCCTCCTGTCATCTCCTTCTCTCCCAGACCTTCTAATCCTCCGTTCTCCCTGTCGCACCGGCCTTCATTTGTTCGTTTATCTCTTCTCTGCTCCTCTTCCTCCTCCTCATCCTCCTCATCTTTGTCATCCTGATCAGGATAAAAATGCTCATTATTTCCCAGCATCCTTTGCCGTGCAGGGGGTCACTGCTGAGATGGCTGAGTGATCTAGCTGTCATGGAGACAAAAAACATGGCTGTCCCATGTGGCTGGCTTCATCCGTGGAATCATGCTGTGGAAAACAGAACGGAGTAAACTTTGGTCATTCAAATCTTTCTTTACTTAAATGGTCAAACCTAGTTAGAACGTATGTGCTTCAAATGTGCAAACGAGACGTGTGCATTAATAACAGAATTAGCCACTGGCAATGTTAACAAGTCCACATGTGTGAATTAGCACAGAGCTGATCCACATTTCCCATTTAGCCACTGGGAATGCACCAGGGAACAGCAGGCTGATGGAAGACAGGCTAAATATAAACTCTGTGGATTTGCATTGCAGGTTCTTTGCAAAAGGGATTGAAGTTGATACAATAGAGCATCACATGGAGTAATGATCATCTCTAGTTAATGATAATTGAGTAACCAAATACAAAGCAGGACTAACAACTAAATCCGGCATACGTAATTCCACTCCAGTCAACAGAAAATGTATATTTCTTCATGTAATTCAGATAGTTTTAAAACTAGGTCCTCTAACAGATTTCTGTTTGTATTATTTTTGTCCCTCCACATGGAATAATCGTATCTGCCTGGATCAGAGATGATATGTTACCCCTTTAATAAGCTGTGACAACCTAATAAACTACCTTAACCTTCAGCAGGAAGATCGGCACAGCTCTGGCAGCCATAACAACAACGTTATCATGTCCTGCTTGGACATTTTAAGAGTTTTATGAATTATCATGAACACCAGAATCTGTAGAGACAACCAGAGTTTGCTGAAGACTGTGTCTTATCTGTATATTGGTTTTGGAATCATATTACACAAATGAATCTGTGACAGTAACTTCACATTCAAGCATTTAAATTAATGATAGATGTACAGTTTTAGATCTACTCATTAATCATTTTAGGCTGCTAAAAACACTCTGACTCTCTTTTGCAAAAACATGACTTAAAACTAAAACTGAAACAACGTTGTGTCCTCGGGGCTTTAGTCAGTAGGAGGGCCTGCCCCAAGGGGAGGGTTTTCTCTTTACTGCCGTATGTGCACGTGGTTTCTTCCTTCATCAGTGGAATCTAAGAGGCTTTTTTTTCTGATCTTACTGGAGTGACATCAAAACAGACGTCTCCTGTAGATGTTATAACACCAACAACTGAGAGATCCTAAAAAGGTTTGACAGTGGACTTTTGTTATTTTCCTTCCCTTTTGGATTGGTTCAGATTTCTCTGCATGTTTTGTCCCTGACTGCAGGGTTTTTGCCTCCATGCCGGTCTGGACCATTGCCGGTGGCGGGCTTAATGATGGTGGATGATGCGGGGGATCTCCTAGTTATCTCACAGGCAGTTTGATGATCGGAATATCGTAAGAGCTAGCAGTCTGAACTACTTGTACTTGGGCATCAGAGTACACAGATGGATGGCTCATGGCTGGAGCCCACAGAGACACGGCTCGATTTAGCACACACATCTAAACTCATTCTGTCATAGATCACCATCATGCAGACACTTGGGTTAGCTGTTAACAGAGGTTTGAGGGAAGGTCGATGAAAGGTAAAGAAGAACCAGCAGGTGCCAGGAACAGATCTGAGTCAAGAAACATCCAACAGCATCCAAAGGTGTGGAACATTTGCCTAATAAATACATTTGCAGAGGTTTCTAGCAGGATTGAATACTCTGTAAGTATAATGTTAATTTTCTAATTTGAGGCAAATAACAAGTGTGAACGTTCAAGCTTCAGAGCAGTAAGCATCCCTGACACAATCATTATTTAGTTAATTTGATTTTAAGGTCCAGTGCAATAAATACTGCAGACTCAACAGTGGATCAAAGCATGGAGCTTTAGAAGAAGAAACACCTAAGCTCTGCTGGTATTTGGCAGCGTCTTTCACCATCATGGATCACTTATTTGGACCAAGACTGCATTTGTGTGGATGGTTGTACCACATGAATAAACAAACTTCATAACCTTACAGATGTGTTGGTTCAGAAAGAGCAGAAGCTCCGTCCACTGAATTAGTTTTAAAAGCCTTTGTGAATACTTCATACAGAAACGGATCAAGTCTATTCTGCAAAACATTAAAAAAACTAAGTACCACATAACAAATGGTTGATAGAAGTGATGTGATGGTTAGACATCATAAGTAGATCATGATGAAATCTTATTTATAACCACTTTAAATAATGTGTGTCTGACTGAACGTATGGAGGACTCTGGGACAGACAGAACTTTTCACAGACCCATTTCTCTGACTCCAGGCTAAAAGATCTCAAAAACACCACATAATGATGAAAAGAAGGCAACAATGAAGAGTGAAACTTAACCAGCTATAGGTTTAGGTACAGTCTATGGTTTAGGGAACAACTACGCTTTAGGGTAAAACTGAGCTTTTCAGCATGCATGTGATGACTCGGTACATTTTGAAATCCTCTATATTGACTGAATTTCTCAGCATCAAAGGTTGTCATTTATTCAAATAACATTCAACTTCAAACCAAGCAATTACTCTGTTTAACTCCTGCTTATTGTGTGTTTACAGGCAAGCTATGAGCAAAGAAAAAAGTGAAAGGCAGAATTATAAAACTGTTTTTAGTTTATTCATCCATTAATTCATTCAGCTGTTCAAAGAAATCCTATATATGCGTACGTTCATGTGTGTGTGTTATTTCATTAATTTTACCTGGGCCATGAAGTTAATAGATTTAGTTTAGAGTGCTGTGGTGCACTTATCTTTGGCCTGAACGCTGTGTTCTGCACTAACACATCTCACATCGGGGCTCACCTTTGGTCAGTTTGCAAGCATGATTCCAACGCTTACAAGTGATCACATTTTAAGACGAAATCTTTTCTAATTAAAAGCTGACAAAGATCGACTTGTTAACACTCGCAGGTTTTTAACTCTATCATTCAAGAGCACCAGGAGGGAATAGAGTCGGCTGATTTATGAACACAGTCTCATTAATATTGAACAACGTTCGCGTTGCAGGATTAGGAACTGGAGGGACAGGCTTAGGGGAGGCAGGAGCCAACTAATTGGGAAGTAAAAGCAATAGGAGGGATACACAAGAGAGAAAGATAGAATTGTAGTTTGCATAAAGTAGAGCAGCCAGACTGAGGTGGGAAAGGACAAGATTGGAGCAAAAGCCAAATAAAACAGCAGGGATACAATAGAGAAAGGATAAAGAGAAGAAATTAGCTGTGCCCAAACTATTATAACTATACAAATGAATTCCAAATACCCCAAATGAAACTCTACTCTCAGCAGTTTTGGATGTAGACTATATTTTTGCCATTAACTCTCAACAATAGCGCAGACTTTACCCTTTCTTTCCTTTTTGCTTCTATTACCTCTGTGTTGGCCATCGACATGTCTACTGATCTTGACTTCTTTATTTTGAAAGAAAACAAATGGACAGAACAACTTTTCAAAAAGGGTTGTAACTTCTATGACTTTCTCTTTTCTTCAACTTGAAGTTGTTTTATTTTCTTCAGTTTGACATTCATGAATACAAATGCTTGTATTCAATCCTATAAAGCAAGCAATGAATCAATAGGAATTCATGCAAAGCCAGCCTGAACAGGTGAGTTTCCAGCTGCTTTTTAAAGGAGACCACTGAGTCCACTGATCTCAGGCTCAGGGGGAGAGAGTTCCAGAGTCTGGGGGCCACAGCAGCAAATGATCTGTCACCTTTGGTCTTTAGCCTGGTGCGTTGCACAACCAGTACGCTTTGATCACTGGACCTCAGGGACCTGCTGGGGGTGTAGGGACTAAGAAGATCACCAATGTAAGATGGTGCTTGTCCATGTAAGGCCCTATAGACCAGAACCAGGATCTTGAAATGAACCCTGAAGTTAAGTGGTAGCCAGTGAAGCTGGAGGTGAAGCAGAGTGATTTATTAGTAAATTGTCGTGTTCTGTGTCCCTGTGGTCCCCAGCCCCCTCCAGGTTCCCGCATGTGTCCCCTTGTGTTCTCCATCCCTCTCTAGGTTCCCCTTATGTGTCTCCTTGTGTTCCTCATGTGTCTCCTTGTTTGCATCCCCCCTCAGGTGCCTCCTTGTGTTCCCCAGCCCACTCCAGGTTTTCCCCTTAGGGTTCTGTGTCCCTGTGGTCCCCAGTCCCCTCCAGATTTCCTTTCAGGTTCCCTTCTAGTCACTCCCCGTAGTTTTCTATAGGTTCAGGTTTTCATTAGTCTCCTTTAGTGTGTGTGTTTTCCTTCTCCATTTGTTTATTTCTCCCTCACTCCTCAGGTCTTTACTTATTTATATTTTGGTTCTCCTGTGCCCTGAGTCTTTTAGGTTTATTTATGTAGTCTCATAGGTTATGGCTTATTCCCCTCCTCTGCATTTGGTTTATTGATTTCATCAGGCTCTCCTCTGGTTCTCTCTCCCCATGCACCTGCTGCTCGTTTCCTAATCACCCAGCCCCTGTGTGTAAAACCCTGTCTTGTCTCTCAGTCTGTGTAGGTCCATTGTCGTTGTCAGTGTTGTTCTGTTCCTCCTTGTGAAACTCTGTTTTGCTCATCAAAGAGCTTTTCGTTTTTGTCAGTCAGGTTACTGACTTTAGGCTTGGCTTCCTGCCCCTTCTTGGACTTTTGGATTTTTGGACATTGACTCCCAATAAAAGGATTTTACGTTTTACTACGCTCCTGCCTTGTGTTGTTCTGGGTTTCTGCATCATGGGTCCTGACCACCTCCTGGCTCAAACATGACAATAAATATTCTATTTAGTAAGAGATAAACTTTATGGTCTTTATCTCAGTGAATCTATAATTAATTAAATGGGCAAACTAACAGTAGCACATTCAATGTCAAAGAAAGTAAAATGTTATTATCAGGAGAGGGAGAATAATTAAATGGTTAGCAACAGTGTTCATGCTGATGGCCCCCTCCATGAGGCCACCACAGCTCAGCAGAACACCATTGTAGCTTCTTCTGGGGAGAAAAACACTTAGAGAAAAAATAAATTAACAGCTGAGATTGCAGAAAATAATACAGTTAAGAGAGAAATAGTAGAAGAAAGTAGTAGATTAAAGCCATGAAAACACACCACTGCACTTCTGGATCAATGATG